CTGGCCCCCAAAATTTTGTTTTTTATTCTGCTCTTTGCGTGAAAAAAGGGTTTTAGTTTATAAATTCAAAGAAAATTTATTTTTTGGAGAAGGTTAAATTAGATAAGATGAAAAGTAATGTATGATTATTTAGCATAAGTTCTTATAAGATATACATGTATTTTGGAATTTTACATGAAAAAATACAATTAAAACTACTTAAACTCTATTTAGAAAAAATACAATTAAAACTACATGAAATATTTTTTCAAAGGACCAGGGAAAATACCAACATTGCATTTGGGGGACCCCGCTTTGGACCATGTGCATCCGTGAGTCTGATCGGGTTCCTTTCCCTGGTAGCAAAGCCCCCTAGGGTTGGGTTTTTGTCATGGGCTCAGCTTCATTTATTTAATTCAATAATTTATGATGAATGACATTGATGGTAAAGTTATTGACCTGTTATAAGTTGTTGTATTGACAAAAACTATATTCTGCTCTATCGTACTTTCAGGATATCCCACGAATACCAAAGCCTATTTACAATCTTGCCATGAAAGACATTGTATTATGCTGCACAAACATTGATAAAGATGCAAGGGTAAGTCAACTATCATACATAATGTACATTGTATATATTCATCTAGAAATATCTTAGTAGTCTCTCTACTTATCTATCTCTTTACAATGGCAGTTTTAAATTTCATATATTCATAAACATGTATTTCTAATCCCATAAATTGACGTAGTTGTCATTCGTATCAAAACTTGTTTTCAGTTGTCAATTCTTTAAAAATTTTTTAAGAAAAAACTGTGGGAAAAGTTTAAACCCCTTGGGTATGAATATATCGGCCAATGTTGACAAATCACATATAGTTTTCTGATAAAAAAGAAATTCCCCCAGTTTAAAAAGATAAGTCTTTTGAAAAAAAATTGGTTTGTAAAAAAAATCACTGAATAAGCATCTTTCTATTTTTGATGATGAGTAAAAACAAAAAAAAAAAAATTTCCTGTACTATTTTTTTCCAGTTTTAAACTTCAGGGAAAAAAGGGGAATGGATGGGGGGGGGGTAGTTTATGAGAGATCAAAACAGAACAAGTCCCCCCACCTTGTTGCTGGACATTTGGGCACCCCCCTAAATACCGGGTAAATCCAAAATTTCCCAGTTTTAAAAAAATGGGAATAGTCTGTTTTTGGATTACACCACTAAATTATTCATTATCAGTGAAGTGTTTGATGATATTTTGTTTAAATGTTTAGCAATTTTTTGTCTAAAGCTTGAAGGAAAATAAAGATGATTGTCTTTGCAAACTCAACTCGATGAAAGGGAAGTTCAAGCCCTAGAGGAGACTTAACCATGTTTCCTCAAATAGCACTTGTACTGGTAAGATCCAGGAAACAGACTGAAGAGTTGTTCATTTAGCTCTAATTAAGCTTAAATTAATATGGATCTATCTCAGATTTCTGGTTAAAAATAGTGTATTACAAAATTTCCCCCTTCCAGAATTAGTGAATTTAACTGATGTTGCTTTAAAATTGTTACTGTCTATTGTGTGTACAGAATTTCAATTTAAGAATATTAAAAATAGAGTTATCAATCAACATATTAAAGACTGGTCAAACTGTATGTGTAGGCGGACACTGACTCAAGTATAAACATGTATCATAGACAAGTAATTATTGCATGTAGCTTGCTTAAGGGTTAAACTTAAAAGCAATCTAAATCATAAGTTTTGTTGTGATTCTTATGATTATTTACTATTCACATGCTGAATTTGTGTAATTGACTTGTCCTGATTTGAATTAGATACTTAAAGGATTTAAATACCAAAATACAGAAAATTGAGCTACCAGCAGTATAGAGTCTTGTCAAGCTGTATGGAGGTACAGGCTGGCCTGGTAGCAAAGGCACTTTAGGTTCCCACAGGTAAAGAGTTAAATGTGCCGTGCCATGATAAAACCAACATAATGTATTTGCGACCAGCATGGATCGAGACCAGTCTGCACATCAGCAAAGTCTGATCAGGATCCCTGCTTTTCCCATTTAAAAGTTTCTCTCCCTTGTTATATTTTTTGGGAAAAGAAAAACCCAGCATGGACCCTTGACCCAGAGACGGGCGCAAATTGCGAAAGACGGGGTTCTGGAATCCATCCCCTTGGTCCCCAAATGCTTTAATTTCGTTTTTGTTATGTGCGGCTTTTATGTTGTTTTTCCAGACTGTTTGGTGCACACAAAAAAACAAATCATGCTCCCAAACAGGGGTTTTGAAGGGGTTGGGAAAAAAATTTCTAAACTCGAGTAAACCATATTGGAAAAATGTTCTCTTATTTTAGTGTTTTTTTTCCCAATTGTTTTTAGTTTGAAAATTTTCATTTAAAATTTTAAAAACCTTTTGGGAATTTTTTTTTACATTTAAAAGTTTAAAAAAATTAGGTTTTAGATTATTAGGTATCAAACATTGTTGTCAAACTTTGTTTGAAATTTATACACAGCAGAAATTTTTCATAAATTTTGTTTCTTTATAACTTGAATTTGGAATCTTGCCAAAGATTTTATGCTTATTTAATTGTAATGAAAAAAATTCAACATGTAAACATACGTTCTATTATATAACAATAATAAACACATTGTTGACAGGGCTGTACATGGCACCGATGAATTGTTTCAAGACTATAAATGCCCAATCTTTATGGGTTACAAGATCAGTGTGTCAGGTTTGTCGGTAGCAGAGAGGACAGAAGCCAAAAAGCTTATTGAAAAAGAAGGTGAGTACATAGTTTCTTTTATGTGTAAGCAAGGCCTTACATTGTTCTTTGTCTTATTATGTAAGAAATATTTTAATACTTGCAAGAGATTATGAGTTTGTTTCCTTTATAGCCTATTTCCTATTTTTACTTATGGTAGTATGTTTATGCAAAACTCAATAATTTCCAGAATGAACAATTTTAATCAATAACTTTTTTAATTGCCAAAGGGGAGTGTATTCTGGGAGAAAATGAAGGCTAAAGAAGCACCCATTATCTCGATAACCAATGACCCAAAAGGTAGGAAAAGATATTTCAATTTAGTAGGGACAGGGTATCACATTTTTAACATTATGCTCAAAAATGATTTAAATTCCCTGTAATTTGTCAAAATTATAACTGGAGCATATTAAAAAAAAAGGTAATTGGTATATTCCAGGCTGTTTATTGACAGAAAGGGTTTTTGGTTCAGTGTCTGTCTGCAAAAAAAAAAAAACCAAGGATTTCCTGTGTTCTAAGCTTTGCCTGAAGGAAAATCTTTATTTTTCGTGCTGGCTTAATAATTAAACAATAGAGTTACCAATTCCAGTTCTTTCTGTAAGAACTTTCCTTTTAATTATCATTAACTGTTGTAATTAAAAAGGGGCATGTTTGTATATTAGTAAGTATACTACCTTCCTAGTGTTATTTTCTTGCAGTTTTCTTTAGAATTTATTCATAATTTATTCATAGTTTTTGTAGTCTTCTATCAGGATACTAAGAGCTTAAACTCTATAGAAGATTAAGGCTTTACATTATCTTGTAAATCATTGACATATAAAGATGTGTTTGTAATGCAAAAGAAAAAGATTTGTTTAAAGAAAACTTTTTGACATAGAATGTTGTGTTTTTGCAGGACAGAAGTATAACTTTGCGTTAAAATGGCAGATACATGTAGTTAAGTCTGGGTGGTTGTATGATTCCCCTGGAGAAGGGCTATTGTCAAGAGGGACTAAAACTATCCGGTAGTTTGGGTCCCGGCCCAAAAATTTAGTGGGAAATATAAAAAACTTCAACACCAGAAGGGCGGTAGCATGGCGGGGTAAATTTTAGAAATTGTAAAATGTGGGATTTTTTAAATTTAAAACCAATTTAAAATTTTTTGTTTTTCACGGGAAAGAAAATTATATGGAAAAATTTAATAAATTATTAGGATGTTGCGGGTTAAATTCGTTTTTTTATGTTTGTTTTTTTTCAGTTCACCATTACGCTTCAATTTAAACAAATTTGAGGGGCTATTGGAAACTGGACTAAAAATGTCCTACCAAAAGTCCTCTTTATGTTTGATAAAAGGGGAAAAAACAATTTCCTCTTGTACTTTAAAAATAATGGGGAAATTATTTTAATTTTCCCGGGACTTTCCATAGAGAAATAAAGGGGTTTTGATAAAAATAAATTTTATATATGAGAATATGTATAAAACATTAAATATTGGAAGAGAGGCTCTGGGGTGGTTTAGGTCATTGGCTTCAAACCACTTGCATCTCGCTGCTGTATGTTGAACATGCCCAAGTTTCATCTGATTGTACTTATTAGAAAGCTATCCAGCTAGCTTGCGGATTGTCTGTCGTTGCCCGTTTGTGTCTGAAATAATGTTTGGAGAGACACCTTCGGTCTTCCTCCACCAGTAAAGAATGCCACCATATGATCTATACTGTGTTGGTGCAACGTAAAACCGGATAACAGAAGAGAAAATATTTTTTTTTTTAAAAACAACATACATTCTGCCCTGTAAAGGACAAAAATGTTTATCAAAATGCAAATATAATAAACAAAGACTGTTTTGTAATTTCAATAATTTGAGAAAAAATGTTGATGATATAACAGAGGGTTAGTTATCCGCTGGTTAGATATCAGTTTGGGATGATGTTTTATCATTAAATATTTATGTGTTAATTTGGCAGTAGTCTGTGTTACAACATGAATCATGTCTTTTATTAACTAACTCTCCTTTATTTGTATAATGAACTTATCCAGCTTTTAATTTGGACCTGTCCAGAGTTAAATGTGATATAGACTTACTCAGCCAATTTTAGAGCTCTGCAATGTAATTCAGTGTGATATCAAAATGCTGAAATTATGCAAGTCACAGTACCCAGTGGAACTTTGTGCACTAGTAACATTAGTCTTGTCACTCTGCAAAATGTTTATACTTGCTTGACTCTTCAGTCATTACTAGTAGTATTTAATGTGTGTTAGGTGTATTTAAGTTATGGATAGTGACTTATTAATGATTTAGACATATTACTTTAATCACAGCTTCAGACATCACAGACATCAACAACATTTCTATGATATCTATGGCAAATGTAAACGAGACAGCTTGTACAACATTTACAAGGCTCGAGGATCCCACGGAGAATTTAGATGTTACAAAGGCACCTGATGACTTGTTCCTAGATGGCTGCAAGGTCAGATCTTTTTACTTTTACTGTCTTAAATTGTTAACAAGGGATTATTACAGGCTTATTTGTAAGAATTACACCGGGGCTACCATTAAATTCCAATATTTGGAAGTTAGAGACTGCAAAATCTGCATAATTCAGAGCCCCATTATATAGGAAAATAGGAAGAGCATTATACTTTGGAAGTAAGATGCAAAAATTAAGCAACCTTCCAGTAAAAGAAGCCATATTACACTTGATAAGTGGAAAACAGACTGGTTATAACAACATACTTTTGAATTATATTTAATTTGAAAAGAATGTTACATGCATTTCATTAGATTAATTTGTTTTAATAGAAAACTAGGGGTAAAGTGCATTATTTAAGTGATATTTGCTATAGTTCCTCTGCAAGATATCATATTTGCTCTGTTTGAAGTCTTCAATTATTACTTATTACAGATATATCTTAGTGGATTTAGAGGGGCTACATTAGAAAAACTGAGAAAAATCATCAACAGTGGTGGTGGAACGAGGTAAGTCCATTGATGAGTCAGTTTGTTCATAAACCCTGGCCTGCTAGAAATATTAAATAGACTTGTCCAGTTTTTGGAACTGCCCATTATCAATTCTGAAATATCAAAATGAAACTTTAAAGTGAGTCAGTTGTGGCAAGTCATTGTTGCCTTAAGCAAGAAACTATTCAATCATTTTCACTACTGGTTGGTTCCAGGAACAGATTCAAAAGTGTCTATAAACTAAAAGATTCCTACATACTTCGTAAAATAAATTCTGTATAAACCATTTAGTCAGTTAAAAGTATAGATCATGCCCAGACTGCACAGATGTGAACGTATGCCTGGATCTATACTGGTCGCAAAGGCCAAGCAGTCCATTCCAGCAGGTTAAAGACACTGTTATAATTTGATTGAATACTTATCTGCATGGTGAGATGGTGATAAAGTTAATTTGGAGGTAATAGCAGATTTTCTTTATGATTTGATGTACATTTAAAAATATGGAAATTCTGGAAAGTGGAGATAACCCTAGAGCAATGAAAACAAAAGTAAACAAGCGAAAATTGCATGCTTAGAAGATAATGAAAATTTCAACATCTCTTAGGCCCTTAAAAGATTTATGTAGTAAATCAATCATTAACTGAGCAACATTTTCAATGTTGTTAAACCATTGTGAACAATCAAAAGGTATTGCTTCTTTTAGATTAATATTTTTGTTGTTGTTTTATAACGAAAAACAAAATCTGCATTATTTTGAACAAACTTGTTTGTTTTTAGGTTTAACCAGATAACAGATAATCTAACTCATGTGATAATTGGTGAGAAAATTACTAGTGATATAGAGATGATAAAATCAATGACTAACAGGTGAGTTTTCTGTTTAATTTGTTCATTTATCAGTCTTACATACAATTGTTTTTCAAAGTATTATCTTATGGCTAATATATGAAATATTATTGCCACTCCAATGTTTTTTTTAGCTAAAGAGTCTTTAAATTATTGAGAAATTGAACCGGTTTTATTTTATGTATGAAATAATGTGATGCTGATTCAATTGTTTTAAGATAAAGTTCTGATATATAAATGAAAATCTATGATGTTATTTTTGGACAAATATTTTTCAGACCTCATACTGTGACATCTCAGTGGTTAGTGGAATGTTTTAAACAGGGAAAGCTTTTGGAGGAGGCACATTATAACAGTCCTGAGATTGTCAAACCCGATCCGAAAACACCGGAAATGAAAGGGTATACTAAAAGCTTGAATGGATTCATATAGTTTGAATATTTTGAAGTAATATTTAGTATTTTTATTTTGCTGTATACTGAAGAAAGAGTTTGATGAACTTTTTTTTTTACAAGAAACTGTTTAAGAAAACTGTTCCTTTCCTTAGTTTGTTCAGTGAGAAAGATTCTGCAGAAGGGGGTCTCTGGCACTGATTGGTTTTAAATCACTTAACCCCTTCATTGCGGTGAGTTCAAGTCCTGCCAGAGTATTTTGATCCATTCATATAAGGAAGATATCCAGCTATCCTGCAGAAGGTTGGTGGCTCTACTTGAGTGCCTTTTCAAGCCTGAAATAATGTACATGATGCATGTAGGTGTACTTGAGATAATTCTCCGCTATTGAAACTGGAAAGTAGTCATGTCACCTTTACAGTGTTTGAAACCCATGAACCCTTCTTAGCCTGCTGGCAGCAATTGATTCTGTTATACAACCAGTGTAGACCAAGTTCTGCCGGCACATCCTTTACTTCTGATCATGGTCTACACTGTTTGCTATTCAGTCAGTACTTATATTTAAATTGTGCCCAAAATGATGAGTGGTTTTGTCCAGAGTGACTTCATAAACAAGTTTATTTAAGATATGAAGTTATGCATTTATTATCTTTGTCAAAACACTTAGTGATTTGTATTGTACAGTGGACGTAGGAAATCGCGAGCCCCCCAGGAAGAGTCACGACAGAATAACTCAAAGGATGATGGGAGGGACGATGATGATATGCATGATATAATGAGTCAGTACCTGGAGAACCAGCAACCTAATACTACAGGTAAGTCTATAATTTATACCTGATCAGGCTTTATTTATATAATGGACTGGTCCTGATTTGAATTAGAGACTGTTCATTCTTACTTTAAGGGGGTTCAAGATAAAAAAAAAATCTGTAACTGAGCACCAAGTACATGAGAACAATTTGTGATAGATAAGTATATACAGTCTGGTTTAGGAAAGGAGAGTGTTTTAAATACATAATGACATTTCCTATAATTATTCACTGTTGTATGACATTTCCTATAATTCTTCACTGTTGTTAGCTATGGAAGGGTTGATTAAGGTTTGTTAATGCCTACCAAATACATGAAACATTTGAAATAAATAAGTGAAACATGTGTTGATAAAAGAAAACATAGAAGTAAAGACATAGTAGGTTGATAAAATAACATATCAAGGTAGTGTTGAATGTTCAAAAACAAATGTTCCACTAAGATATTGTCCTAGCTGGGAAATGAAGCTTTTTCATCCTTTGTAAGATATGGCTTACAGAACAAAATGGAAGAAAATTTAGTTTCATTGCTATTGTATTGTAGGAGATGCAGCGAGATCAAATGAAACAACAATGGCTCCAGATGAGGATATGACACAAGATCCTAATAGTACAGCAGGTATAATACCATGTCTTCATCATATGTTTTGATTAAATGTCTCAATCATATGTATTGATTATATGTTTTGATCATATGTATTGATTATATGTTTTGATCATATGTATTGATCATATGCCTCAAAAATGACCTGCTTAATATTAGAGTTTACCAGAAAGCAATGAGGCACACTTGCAATAAACTATATATATCCTTAGATTTTCTCAAGCAGTTACTTTTCAATTTGCATAAAGTGACAGAAAGTTAGTTTGTGTTATGGTGTAGGTGTTTATTTAAAGGTTTGAAATATGTCTAATAATGCTATTAGTGGGCCATTGAAATGTTTTATTGCGATATTGTTTTTTCTTTCATGATAAGGATTATAATACAATTTTTCACCTCAAAATGCAGGAAATAAAATATGGCAGGGAAGTTTCTCCTCTAGCCTGTAAAGCTACATGCCTCCAGATGAGTCAAAATATTTCAGTGAAATCAACTTGAGAAAAATGTACTAAGATGTAAGGAAAAGTAAAAAGTTTCAAGATTCAAGAAACATTTGACATATTATATGTGATTAATGACTGATTTTTCAGTATCTAAAACTATATTTCTACAGCAACTAAGGCAGTAAAGGCTATTTATGCATACTTTGACCACTTTTTGGTTATTTACATGGTTTGTTAGTGCCATTGATAATGTGTAAATTGCTTCCTTTTGGTAACTTATTACACATATATTACACATTTAAATACATTTTCATAATTTTCATGAAAACTAGCATGAATCTGGGGGTGTGCTGCTCTAAGAAAGTAATTTTTTCAGTTACCTGACCATTTTCACAATTGTAATACATTGCACTATTACAACAGAAAAAAGATGTTCTCATTGTTGTGTATGTCTTAAATTCTGTGCTTATTTTACAGTAAATGAAGGAGGAATATTTGGTGGGAAGAGTTTTGTGTTTTATGGTTTCAATGATGATGGTATTCCAGTACTGTCTTCTTTCATCAAGGAAAATGGAGGTAAATATTGGTATCTTAGTTACCTGAAGAAAATAGTCAGTCTAAATACATGAAGTTTTATTCATTTTTAAATGCATTTTAAATGAAATCAGGACATATAATGTCACACCTGTGAATGTCCATCACTGTGTCTGAGCATCAAGATATGGGTGAAGGACATATAACCATATGTGTAATGGTGAGCAGAGCATGTTTGATTTTCCTAAGATGGAGGTCAAGGTCACATACAGTAATATTTATTTAGTTATTATGTTTGTATTATAGGTACTGTTTTACAGAGCAATGCACGAAGAATACCAGATTATGCCATTGTACCAATTGATGGTTTCCCAGTTGACAGGACAGTTAAAGATATAGCCACAAATGCTTGGCTGGTAAGAATGACTGTTTTTTACTTTGATAATAATCTAACTGAAATTTCAGTGCTATCTTGCTAGTCTCTGCTAGTCATTTCAAAGTACTTGTTTAAGTTTTAACTTGCTGAATGTGTTAATTGGATTTGCTCTACTTTAAATTTTTTATAGTCCTTTAAAACTTAGAGGGATTTCAATATCAAATAGAAATGAGCAACTGTATAGAGCCGGGTCAGACTGCATGTATCAGGCAGTCTAGACTGATTTTTCTGGTGACAAAGCTAACCACTTATGATACCAGCTGGTTAAGGGATATAAACTAGTTGTCAAGATTTACTTCAACACAATATTATGCTGCTATTTTAAGTAGGGTTTGAACCAATCAGCAATGATTTAAAACATGCATTATTCGCCTGCAATGTACTACTATATTTTCTTTCATTCAAGCATTTTTGAAGTATTGTTTTTCCAAATCAGATATTAATTTTTGCAGCAGATATATAGCTATATACACTTTAAGAGTGATGTTTATCTTTAATTTCTGTGTTTTATAAGATTGATAAAAATGCACATTAAGTGATCAATGTTAAATAAATAAACAGACACATGTATTAAAATAAGGACATTGATTTGACAATGTATTTCTAAGGTTGTTTTATGATTAATGATATATGGCATTTCCATAAAAATAAATACAACGCATTATATATTTCAGCAAATGTGTATAGAACAAAACGTTCTGCTAGACATACACAAGAATCCATTGTTTTCACCTATAGAACTGGATGTTGAGGCATTACCTCTGAAGAATTGTGTGCTCTCTGTCAGGTAAACTAGCCATTACCCCTACTAAATATCTTTATTGAACTTGCCCTTTTTTTGTTTTTGAATGGTCCAATGTAATGTGAGGGTTTTTCAGCTTCAGAAAGAGCATATATTGAGCAGGTCAACAGATGGTTGGTGAGACAGCATAAGACCCGAAAACAGAAATAACTTTTTGTGTGGCTTAGATGAATTGGTATAAGTCATTAATTCTACTCCATGATAAATATAGTAAAGTGTTTATTATCTTGTAAGAACTCTGACAGCAGGCCAAACAATTTAATTTTCAAGCCTTACTCTTGAGTATTTCAAGTTAATGTATACAGAATTGTTGTTAAATTATTGATATTTTATTCAGTTGTACACAGTTATCAACTTTATTTCAGTGGTTATTTGGGTACAGAGAGAGATTGTCTGGTCAGCATAGCAGATGTGCTGGGGGCAAAGTAAGTGATTTAAGAGCTGTTTCTACCTAAATTTTCTTTTCTTCATTACCCTTACAACAGGGCACTCTTGTAGATTAAACATATTGATATAAATAGTCTCCCTGCTTCAAAATTCTTGTAATATTTGGTCTAATGTAGCGTTTGGAAATTCAAGTAGATTATTTTTTTCTGTCTGTAAAAACCATGTTACATGTTACATATGTATATCCATAATACTGAGATCATTTGATTTTAATATATGTAAGATTGTAATGTTTGACTTAACAGTGTCAGAAATTTTGAAATAAGAATTTTAAACAAATCTTTAGATTATTAGTAAGATGCATGTATGCGTTTCATTTCAGGACACAGGATTATTTTGTACGTCAAACAAAGAATGATTTACTACCCAGCACACATCTTATTGTAAATGCTCCAGAGGGGTCAAAATATCAGGCTGCTAAAAAGTGGGGTATTCCTGCAGTCTCTAAATTGTAAGTTATAGTACACAAGGTTTTAACTATTTTCCTGGCAAATTTATTAAGCTTCTACTTTATAAACTGACATTTATCAATTTCAAAGGGTGTTAGGATGAAGTTTGAAGTCAGCAAAACAGTATAGAGCCTGGAGAGACTGCACAAATGTGTAGCAGGGTTCGCACAGGCCATGAAAAGTCCTTGAATTTGGTGGTTAGTCCTTGAAAACTCCTTGAATTTTGTCCAGGGAAAAAGTCCTTGAAAACTCCTTGAATTTTACAGGAAACTTGTGAATTTTGTTCAATAATCCACGAATTCCTCATTAAGTACCACAAAACGATTTAAATGAGTAAAACAGCGGCCAAAAAACAAAAGAAAACTCAAATATACATCAATTAAAAAAAAAAAACGACTTTGTAACGAGATAGTAAGACGGTACGGAACGGGTATCGTTTTTTATACACGATTGAAATATTCATGACGTGTAAATTTCACGGACCTGTTTGGGTTATTCATAAAAAAATGAAGAAGTGTAATTTCTCGCCAAAATGTGTAGAAAAATACCCTTTCATTAAAGAATTCAAGGATGATTAAAGAAAAGCGATGTGTAGTGCTTGTGATAAGGTTATAGACGTTTCAGGAATGGGTGAAAGCGCTATAAAATCGCACATTAAAGTGAGAACAAACAATTCACAACACTCAACAGGGAGAGAATGTAATCAGGATATACAATGTAACTAGCTTCTTCAGTTTAGGTGCAAGTACTATCTTGAATAAAGATGACAATAACAATAATCTGACAATACCACTCCCACCCTCTGAAGCAACTACTGCAAAATCTTGCACACTTAGAAAAGAACTTCATAAATTTGATAGTACTTCAACAGGTATTTGCATGTAAAACACTAATTTCATACATTGTCGCCCTTTTACACATATTTGTCTTTAGTGTTTCACATATTTTAGTCCTTGAAATACTTGAAAAAATCCTTGAAAAGTCCTTGAAAACTCCTTGAATTTTGTCCTGGATGGTCTGTATGAACCCTGTGTAGGCTGGCCTGACACTGTACTGTTGTCAGAGGCTAATCGCCTTCAGTTTTAATAGGTTAAAAGTTAAGACTATAGGTCTTTGGGTTTGTTTTATTTGTATTTGTTTTTTCATGGCAGTGAACACTGTTTAATAAGAATTGTATATATATATTTTTGTGAAGATAAGAAATACATCAGTAGACAAAACTGTGTTTGCCAGGCGAACCATCACAGATGCTGATCTTGCTGACTTGTCATTGAATTGGAAATTGTTTGTTAGTTTAAAAAGCTATAGACTGTAATTATAACCTCGCAAAAACGAAGAAAATAAAAGCATGTCAATAAATACCTGCCCATAAGTGTAGCTCACATAATACTTTCATTTCAGGTGGGTTCTTGCTTGTGCTAAAACAGGGAAGAAAGAAGAAGAAGAGAAGTTTTTAATAGATACATTACCTGATGATAATATAAATATAAACACATTAATAGACAACCAGTCTGATGAGAGGGAACAAATCAAATCTGGGAACCAGTCAAAGTCTTCAACTAAGTCTCGACATAGTGAGATATCAAATAAGAGTAGTGCTGAACCAAATGATAAGGAAAGTGATGAAAATAGGAGTAATGAGGCCGAAAATAATCAAAATAACCAGTCTAGAAAAAGAAGTTCCGGGAATGAAACCAGTCTAAGGGATTTCTCCACTATGGGAGACACCGAAGCTATCCTAGCAGGTTTAAATACTCAAGGTGAACAAGAAACTGTTTGTGATAAAAGTAAAGCTGTTAATATAGACCCTGATGAAACTGTTGGCCCTGATAACAATGTTTCTAAAGGGAATGATTCTGTTACAGAACAATCAAAGAGCAATGTGATACATACTGAAAAAGATATTGTTCCTATTGAAATAGATGAAGATGAAAATGAACATGATGAAGACCAAGCTGTGAACAATGTGGACAATGATGATGATGAAGTAATTATTGTAAATAAAAATCTTGAAGGTGCTAAACAAGAAACAAAGAAGCCAGAAACTCCACCCTTGACAAGATGTAAGTTTAATACTGTTTCTATAGAGCAGTTTAAAGCCTATATTTATTATCATCATATTTATTATCTGATTTTCTTTGGAAAACACACATTATCAAAAACACTGCTTACTTAAAAAAAATTTAAAATTTACATAATATTATGAAATGGTTTATCATTATAATTGTATTAGAACAGAGAATCAGATAATAGATAATGGAGAATGTATTCTTATATTTTGTTTATCTATTCCAGTTAGAAGAAATCTTGAGAAGAATCCATTTGAGATTGGAACACCTGCACTAGCTAAACAAAGTATGTTTTGTTTTGTTTTTCTACTGATAGAATTTTCTTGTTCTTTTTCTCCCTTTGAAATTAGTTAACAATTTTCTCTCATATAGTAAGAGAAAAATTGCTGTTTTTAAAGTTTCAGCGAGATAATGAGTCTGAATAAATGGTCAGTAACAAAAAAGAAATATTCTTAATAAATGATAATTATGCTTTCTTAAGTTTCTTTCTTGTTCATTTAATCTGAGAACTTGAAATTTATTAAGAGTTTTAATAAGAAGTGTCTTTGTTAAATAACACACATGAATAATACAACAAAACAGAATAAAACATTCCATGTAACATTCATGTTTAATATAGCACAACAGAATAAAACGTTCTGTATCAAAACATTCAACTGCTATTTTAGTATGTTAAACATTGATTTCATGCATGTACCATTTGTTTTATCAGAAATTTCAACTTCAACTTTTTTTCAATTTAAATACATTTAAAGGGATTGATGTAAAATCGTTGTATCATGATACAACAGATGAGCCGCGTCACGACAAAACCGACATAATGGGTTTGCGACCAGTCTGATCAGGATCCATGCTATTCGCTATCAGTTTCTCTACTTGTTATAGGATTTGTAAGCGAACAGCATGGATCCTGATCAGACTGCGCTGATGCGCAGGCTGGTCTGGATCCATGCTGGTCGCAAACGCACTATGTTGGTTTTGCCGTGACGCGGCTCATATATGAAGGAGTTTCAACCATTTTGTATCAAGCCCTTTTTTTGTATATTTGTATACCCTGCAAATTAATGTTTATTTCATTTAGGTGTACGTGATAAGTTGTTAGGTGGAGTAAACATGCAGCGTGATTATGATGTTTCCATGGAAACACCACCTTTAACTAGATGTAAGTCTTGTCAAATGTAGCTTTAGACAACTTATTATATAAAATAATAATGAAGATGCTTGTAAGTAGTAAATGTTGGAATTATCTTTTTCCCCACAATACTTTATAATTTGAATTAGTGCATCAAAATATTGCTTGCTATTGGGTGGATGTTACTAACTGTCAACTCAGTAGTTGTTTTAAACCATAACTTAAAATCTAAAATTCATGTAATGTTCTTGTACAGCTTAAGTTTTAAACATTACATTCTTTTTATATGGGACTTCAAAAAAAATTGCTGTATCCACGCTGTCAACATTATAGAGTCTATTCAAACTTCACAGATGTACAAGTTGTTCTGGTCTTGGCTGTATAAAGGTAATATAGGCCAATCATTACAATTAGCATGTAGAGAGTTAAAGTGTGATAATATTTTATTACAGTTGTAAGGAAGTTAGACAAAGAGCCTGCTAAAGTTGGAACCCCATCACTATCAGAACTAAGTAAGTTGAAAATAATCTCCATGAAATGTCTATTATTTTTCTGTTGGTTCAAAATTACTAAACATTAGATGTTCTTTTGTAACTGAACTGACAAAATACTAGTCTGAATTTTGGACAATGGATTCACTTAGGTGAGAAAGTACGAGGGGTGATCCAAAAATTCGTGGACACGCTGCATAAAACAAAAAGTAATAAAGCAAATCACATGAAATTCTAGTATTTTATTAAGTGAGCATACGTCGACAAATTCTCAAAATATTGTAAAGATTTTACAAGAATTAACGATTCTGCAGCAGTTTATATACATAGACATGACAAAACTCGGCGCAGCTTACGACGTCACATACGACGTTATTCTATCATAGGAAGTAATCTATGTTACTGTTTTGCCTGATAACTTTTCAAAGTATTCCCCTTTAACCCGCACACATTTTTCATGGCGGCAGACCCAGTCTCTAAATGTACTCGCATACCATTCCTGGCTGAATGACGACAGTATGCATTGGGTGACTCCTCTCAACTCGTCCAGATTGTCAAAACGTTTCCCTTTCAACTCTTTATTTAACCTGGGAAACAAGGCGAGGTCACACGGGGAAAGATCAGGCGAATATGGTGAATGACTGAGTACTTCTGCTCCAAGCTGAGAACTAGAGAACAACACACAGACGGTTTATTTGTCACACTTTCGATCATTGTTTTTGTCTTGCCGGGCGTCTTTCCAAGATTTACACAGTACTGTATAACTGTCCGAAGTTTTGCTGGATCAGTGACGTCCATTTTTGATAAAGCTGTTTTTAGCACCTGTTCTTTAAAGCACGAGCGTAAAATAACCGCAACTTCAAAATGTCTTCTAATACTGACAGAATGACGTCATACACATCTAAACAACGTTATTTTAACGTTTCCAGCAATTTTCTTTGTTTGCACAGGTTTTACATGTGTTTAAATGAGATGAAAACGTTTATATCACAGAGAAAAAGTAAGCTGCGCCGCGATCTTGATACTTAATGTTTTTATGTTGTCATATATAGATAAAAAATGCAATTGGTGTTTTAAAATTTGGTCAATTTATTAAAAAAGCATTGATTAATAATATCCAAAGAGTTCACCTCGATAGGACGTCACATTATGGAGATACACACGTTGTCCACGAATTTTTGGATCACCCCTCGTATTTTTGTGTAATTTTTCAAATGACAAAATCGACCATTTCTTTATACTTTGAAACTTAAAATTTTTTTGCAAACAGTATTTTTTATCATTTGATCAGTCTATTAAGTGGCTTTTTTTGTCTGTCATCTGTTAAGTCTTCTTAAAACTCTGCATAGTTAAATGATGGGTTTGCCCATTCAACAAATTTTGGATGAAGATTGATCTTAACTATAGTGTTGTAATGTAGGTGTCCGGGAGCGACTGATGGGGAAAGGTTATCAGAGTGCTAGAACAATTGAAAGAAAGAAGAAACAAGATGAACAAAGACAGAGTCAGAAAGAAAACTTTGAAACCCCAGCACAACAGAGTAGAGTTCAGGTAAATCTTGCTTTATGAACTCAAAAGTGCCTTGTTAGAAAAAAGATGTTTGTATACCGTACTTTCTATAGAGCTGTGTTTCACCTTTACTAATTGGCTGTTGTGCCATGAACTAAGAAAATCACTGCCTATCAAACGACATAAATTTTCAGAGATAAGGATTTTGACGTAATAAAGATTTATGGTACCTATGTGGGTATAGTAATAACATTGTTATAATAAGGTTCTGACTTAAGTATACCTTTTCTACTAAATTTTATCATAAGGTTCTAACTAAAGAAAACCATTTCTACTAAACAGGAGCTTCAAGGGAAGGAAGGGGCTGTTCTAGATAAAGATACACCAAGTAAATTTCTCAACCCAAATGTCCGATACATTCCTAAATTTGATACGGAGGTAAGTGCAAGATTTTGTTCCAGGTTTCATTTCTTCATTATACTTATCCAGTGGCTTTTTTTCAATTTACCAAAATTTATGTTCTAAAAAATTTCACTATTGGACAGACCCATTTCCATGTGAGTGAAAACAATGTTGTTAAACCATAACCATGCATAAGTTGTATAATGGAAGTGTAATATTAGACCATGTCAGTTGATGTCATATTTTGTGAATACTGTATGTAACAGAAATCTTGTGTGCTATGAATATATTGTACTATGAATACATGAACTCAAAGTAAGCATACTTATTCCAGAAATAAAGTGGCTCATGAATTTTCCTTCAGCTCAGTTTAATTCATAGATATCAGAACAAGTTTTGTACAGTGTTTTGTTTTATCAGATTACTATAATGTAGTCAGAAGTGACATTGACAGTACTTTTCGTGCAATCTAATCTTTTTGTGTATCCCTAGTGCCATGTAGATATTGTATCACATAAGTTTATATTTATATATTCTAGATAACATGTGTGGTATGTTTGCTTTTATTGTAGGAGTTACTGAAGTCATTAGAGACCCCAGAAGCTGAGCGGACTGCCAAATCTAAAAATAGAAAGGACAGTCTTGTATGTCACTTAATGTTATATATATAACTTTCTTTCACAACTTATAAATGTAAAATTATGGTTTATATGTTAAAATTTGGAACACACTTGAAAAGAGGTCAGTTTGGAGCTTCTAAGTATTTTACATGATGGATTTCTTCAGTAGTTTAATAAATGTTTTGACCTTTAGGCCATTTTGACCTGTATTATAATAAATCTGCAGTTTTATAAATGATGACTAATGTTGACCTCTGTAGTATTTTAAACCAAGGCTACTTTACACTTTCATAGTGTTATGATACTGGCCAGTTTTGACCTTTATACTATTTCAAATGATGGCTTGATTTGACCTGTATATACATGTATTGTAAAATTAGTCAGTTTTGATTGATATAGTATTGTAACAGAAAGGAAAATTTTTGAGTCTCATAGATAACTTTATTCCTTCATATATAGGATGATGATGAACTTTATGAATTAGCTATGAGTAAGGCAACTAAGAACCTAGCAGAGTTGAGAGAAGCTCGACTACAGGGAAATTTTCCAGCATCCCAGAATGCTTGTGATGAACCTGATGGTGACTTTGAGGTAGGACTATGTGTAAATTTTAACAACTTTAAGCATATTTTTTAAGACTTTGGCATATATTTAACAAACTTTCAATTCACATGAAGTATAAGATACATAAAAAATAACTTTGATGAAAAGAATTACAGTTAAGATCAGCTCTAAGGAAACTTTCTGGAATTCATTTTATAGAAATTTAAGAATTTTTGCTCCCATATAACTGTGTTGATTTTCTTCCAATCTATCCAAAGTTTATGGACCTATCTTTAATTTATTCCCTATCAACAAAAATCATTTCTCTGATGACTATATCACTATGTTGAATATTCCAGGAATCATCTACAGTACTTAGAGGTGTTGTCATATCAGTGGGTAAGAAACTGACAAAAGACCAGACAGAGTTAAACGATCTTGTAGAGTCACTGGGCGGTGACTACCGCTGGAATTATGACAAATCCTGCACACATTTCATTTTCCAGGTATAAATGTTTTTATATTTATAAAAAGTTTTATAAGTATCTGTTTCAGCATCTGGTAGTATTTATCCTTTACAAAATTAAAACTAAAAATTATTAGCCCTGGCAACCAGTATAAAGCCAGTCCAGCCTGCACATTTGTGCAATCTGACCAGACTCGATACTGTTGGCTGACCAACTCCAAATTTTTATCTACATGTCCCAAAATTTAGTTGTGGGTAATTCCAAAACCTGATCAAAACTATTTTATAAATTCATAAGGTTATAGGCGAAACTTTAAGCCATTTTATTTTTTTATAGTGATACCTCTTACAGTGGCAATTTCTATGTATACCAAAATGTTCTGATGGAACAAATAGTTGCAGGTTTATCCTTTCTACATCATTTATGTAACACTTTCTTGAATTTCTCATAGCACCTTTTATTGACTATTATCTTAAATATTTTGTAAGAATAGTAAGAATGTACCTTTTATTGACCTCTACCTATTATTGGGGTTTTATGTTGATTAAGTAATCTGTAAATGTCACTGAAGAATGAAAACCAAATGTTCCTACTTTTGTAGATAAGTTATGTATTTAGCTTTATTAGTCCCCTACCAGTTTACCGGAGGGGACTTTAGGTTAACCCTCCGTCGGTCTGTCTGTCAGTTCGTCAGTCCGTCCGTCCACAAAACTGGATCCCGCGATAACTTGAAAAGTACTGAAAATATTTTTATGAAACTTGATATATGGATAGATGGCAGTATGGAGATTATGCACGTCTTTTTCCTTTCTTCCTATATTGAAAATTCTGCGTCAGTCCGTCCGTCCACAAAACTGGATCCCGCGATAACTTGAAAAGTACTGAAAATATTTTTATGAAACTTGATATATGGATAGATGGCAGTATGGAGATTATGCACGTCTTTTTCCTTTCTTCCTATGTTGAAAATTCTGGTTGCTATGGCAACAAATAGACTGAAAATATGGCAAATTTTACACATAAACTGGATCCAGTGATAACGCAAAAAGTACTGGAAATATTTTTATGAAACTTGAAATATGGGTAGATGGCAGTCTGGAGATTATGCATGTCTTTTTCTTTTCTTCCTATCTTGAAAATTCTGGTTGCTATGGCAACAAATAGACTGAAAATACGGCAAATTTTATACATAAACTGGATCCTGTGTTAACGCAAAAAGTAATAGAAATATTTTTATAAAACTTGTAATATGGGTAGATGGAGATTATGCACGTCTTTTTCTTTTCTTCCTATCTTGAAAATTCTGGTTGCTATGGCAACACATAGACTGAAAATATGGCAAATTTTACACATACACTGAATCCAGTGATAACTCAAAAAGTACTGGAAATATTTTTATGAAACTTGACATATGGGTAGATGGCAGTTTTGAGATTATGCATGTCTTATCTGTTCTCCCTATTTTGAAAAAATCAAAAAGAGCTGAATTTTTTTTATGAAATTGCATCTTTAATTCAAGAGTTATCTCCTCTTTAAGAATTTTGCTTTTAAAAATGTTATATTTTGGTAACAGGGATGTTTCAAATATTAACTTTAGAGTGTCCTTCAGTCCGTCTGTCTGTCTGTTCATAAAAACTGTTTCCTGTGATCACTTTTAAAGAACTTTTCCAACAACTTTACTTAAAATATAGAAAAATTGAAACATTAGTGAATGGCCAATGGCCCTTCAGAATGTTGATGGGGTTCTAACCGGTAGGGGACTTATGGATTGCTTGCAATACTATGATAATTGCTTGTTGATGTAGTATTGTGTGAATGGGGTCTTTGTTTTCTTTTCCACTGGGCTGGAATATGTCTAGGAATAGCTCACTTACAGATGGGTGGTGGTTCCCCTCATACCTAATACAATGCAAACAGGGGAACATCGGGTCTTAAACCACCTAAAAAGGCAAAAAGTTACATGAAAGAACTAAGCAGGTTTTACTAATTATGAAGAAGATTATTTTTATGCCACCGCAGCATCTGTGATGCGGTGGCATACAGCGATTCACCTGTGTGTGTGTTTGTATTATAAAGATTATATAGTGAACTTCTTGTGAAAAAGTACTAGTCCAATTTCAACCAAACTTGGCACAATTGATCCTTGGGTGAAGGGCTTCCAAAGTTGTTCAAAGAATTTCATTCCATGCAACCAAAAGGAATTATAAGAATAAATTTAAAAAATCTTCTTGTAAAGACCCAAAAGGCCTAGAGCTTAGATATTTTGCATAAGGCATTGTCTGGTAGACCCTTACCAAGATTGTTCAAATTATAGCCCTGGGGTCAAAATCGGCCCCTCCCTGGGGGTCATTGATTTTCACTATATATACATACAGTAAAAACTTAAAATACCTTCTTGTAAAGACCCAAAAGGTTAGAGCTAAGATATTTTGCATAAGGCATTGTCTGGTAGACTTCTACCCAAATTGTTCAAATTATAGCCCTAGGGTCAAAATCAGCCCCGCCCCGGGGGTCATTGGTTTTCCTTATATGTATATAGTGAAAACTTATAGTAAAAACTTTAAAAAAATTTCTTTTAGCAATTAACAAATGCTAGAGGTTAGATATTTTGCATGAAACATTGTGAAGTGAACTTCTAGCAAGATTGTTCAAATTATAGCCCTGGGGTCAAAATTGCCCCCGCCCGGGGGGGGTCATTGATTTTCAATGTATATATATATAGTAAAAAATCAAAAAATCTTATTGTCTGAAGGTACAAGGCTAAGAGCTTTAATATTTGTAAAATGATATCATCTATATGTACTCTACCAAAGTAGTTCAAATTTTGCCTCTAGTGTCAAAATTAGCTTGCCCCGGGGGCCATAGGTTTTCCTTATATGTATTCTGAATTGACAAAGGCTACAGGTTAAATATATGGCATGAGACTTTGTGAAGTGAACCTTTACCAAGATTGTTCAAATTATAGCCCTGGGGTCAAAATTGGTTCTGCTCCGGGGGTCATTGATTTTCATTATGTACATATAGTAAAAAAATAAAAAATATTTTTGTCTGAAGGTACAAGGCATAGAGCTTTGATGTTTGCTATATAATATCATCTATAGGTCCTCTACCAAAGTTGTTAAAATTTTTCCCTGGTGTTAAAATTGGCCCTGCCCGGGGGCAGTAATTCTCATTATGTACACATAGTAAAACAGAAAATAAAACAAATGTTTTCTGAATGGGAGAAAGCTACAGCTTAGATTTTTGACTTGAAATGTTGTTTGGTGGACCTGTATCAAGATTGTTTTGAATTAAACCCTTGGGTCCAAAATTTTGCCTTGCCCAAGGGGACAGTGACCTACTTTCTTGTCCTTTGATGTACAGCAATGAAATTTTGACCATGTGCACAGTTTTAGTTGTAAAATTGAACTTTGATATCAGGTGACCTAGATTTTGATGATGTGACCTACTTTCTTGTCCTTTGATGAACAGCTATGAAATTTGAACCATGTGCTTAGATTAAGATGTAAAGTGAACTTTGATTTCAGCTGACCTAGATTTTGACAAAGTGTCTAACTGTGTTGTCCTTTGATGTAGTCATGAAATTTAGGCTGTGTGAAATATGACCTTCCCACCAAATTCACTAGACTCGAGTGCATTGATATATTCCTACTCTGATCTTTTATTGAGTTAACAACAGATTTAACCACTAATCTGATAATAAGAATTAAATAGGTCAGGGATCTATGCATTTTGACAATCTTCAAAATTGTATAGAAACAAAAAAAAAATTTGTTCCTACACTACTATTTAGTGTTGTATTAATGCGGTGGCATAGCATTTTTCTCGAATGCAAGCTTGTTTGCTTTTCAGTGTTTATTGATTCTTTCTGTCTTTCACAGTGTACATAATTGAGTACCGCCTCCGTGGTCGAGGGGTTAGAGTCAATGACTACTAATCCAGTTACCTCTCTGGCGTGGGTTCGATCTCCGGGAGATGCTTTGGTAGTTTAGCTCGGAGGAAGGTAGTCTAGTACTGGTGTAACTCTCCAGGAACGATGGTTAGGAAACTACCCTCCTATATGACTGAAATACTGTTGGAAAAAGGCGTAAAATGAAACAAACAAACAAACAAAATGTATTTGAGTTCTTGCGGACACCTTGTGTAATTTGTTCATGTAAAATGTTTACTTTTGTTTCAGGGTCGTCAAAATGATACATCTAGAGAATTCAAGCATGCGAAGGCTAGTGGGATGAAAATAGTGTCTCCACATTGGCTTTACATGGTGAGATTGTTGTTTGTAGATGTTTTCAGATTTATATTCCTGTAACACATGAAGCATTTACTATATTCATGTTTAGAACAGAATCATAGGAAATATGGCTCTAGATGAGTATCAGTCATACTGAATTGAATTGAATGTAGCTTGTTGATATAAACCTTGGCAAAATAAATAAAGTATTCAAAATAGTTTATGTTGGCAATAAATAACTGTAACAGATAGTCCATTTCAAAAATGTTTACATCATGTGGCTTTTTCTCTGAATCAACCCTGAGATAGTGAATTCTTTCAAGCTGAAATAGATATGATTAAAATAAGTACTGGTGACTTGGAAATTCTGTATTTGGCACGGGGGGGGGACATGTTCAGAATGGGTCAGTTAGTTTGATCAGTGAGAATGGTTAAGTGTGATCAAAATCACAATTGATTTTGCAAAAGACTGTGTGCTGAAAGATTTAAATTTGTAAGATAAATTTCTGAAGATCATTGTTTTTTAATGCCAATGGCTGAAAACAATTTCATTTTGATCCTTATTTGTGTGTAAATTTCAGTGTAAAGAACAGAATGCCAAAGTTGATGAGACTTTATTTCCACATACATTCAACCCAAATCTTTCTCTGGTAAGTTTGATCTATGATATTTTAGCTGTTTTTCTTCATAGTAGTCTTTTACCAGATTTTTTCTGTTCTTTGTCCACAATGCTTTTTATATAAGTAGCAAACTATTTTTTGTTTAAAGATCCATCATCCTGTATGTTGCAATTAAGGATGTAACAACTTCTAAGTGAAATTTTATATATGTTTATTATTATTCTTCTAAACCAATTTCCAAACATCCAAGAATATGTGAAACATGTACTGCAAATGTTTATACACATTATAAGTATTCATTAGAATATATGCATTCATTTCTTATTAAAAAATTTGGCTTAGACTTCATCGAAAATAAATTTCTAATTACCTCCCTTTATTTACATGAAATTTAAATCGGTAATATCTAAAAATAATACTTTTTGGAACTTATAATATTGATAAATCTCCATTTGAGCATCATATTAAATGATATAAAACCATTTAAAAAAATTGAGTTACAGGATCTTTAATTATGAAGTAAGTATGTTATTTAAGATCTGAGTATATTTTGTATATTGTAATTGAAATTTGAAAGTGTTACTGATATGGTTTTATTTCCTTGCTGTTGTATTACTCAAGTCTGTTGTATCAACACGAAGAACACCGATGAGAACACCACGTAGTAGTAGAAGAGTAGCAAACACAAAAACAGAGGTGGCGCCACCAGCTAAACAGTCAATAGTTATACAGGGTGATGATGAGGGAGAAAATGTCAAAAAGGGACCAGTTAAAGCATTAGCTGATATACCAAAAATAACATTAGAAAAAGATCTTAAAAGTCCAGAAAATAAAAGCTCTTCAGAGGAAGATAAAAAGGTAATTATGGTGTTGTGTTAAGTCATTTTTCATGAATTTAAATTTCAGATTTGTCAAAGTTTATACTTAATTTAGGCTCACTGTGATATTCTAATAGTGTGAGATGAAAACGCTACAAGATATAGAGGTGTTGTTCACCCACTGACTATATTATGTTGTTGTTTTTTTTTCTGTACAAGATTTTATTTTTATATTCTGTATATTTTTTTTATTTACAAGATTTTTTTTTGCATTGTTTATTTCATTCTTAAGATATCAAATATTTAGGACATGAACATTTTAAAACTGATTTAGGACATAAACTTTATTAAACAGAATTACATTTTCATCATTATCAAATAGTATGAATTGTAATTGTTAACAGTCAACAGATTCCATTATAATAATACATGTACACAAATGTATATATATTTTAGCATTATTAAGATTCCGCTTTTGATATTTCTTGTTCATATTGATGATATTCCTTGCCTTTTTAGCTCACCTGAGCACGAAGTGCTCAAAGGTGAGCTTTTGTCATCACTCTGCGTGCGTCGTGCGTCCTTCAAAAAATGGCGTCAAACTTTTCAAACAACATCTCCTCCTAAACTACATGGCCAATTGCAACCAAACTTTACAGAAATGATCCTTAGGTGGACCCCTTTCAAAGTTGTTCAAAAAATTTAAATTCCATTAAAAAACTCTGGTTGCCATGGCAACCAATAAGAAAAACTTAAAAAATCTTCTTCTAAAAAAACCGTAAGAGCTAGAGCTTAGATATTTGGCATGAAACATCTTCTAATGAGTGCCTACCAAGTTTGTTCAAATCAAAGCCCTAGGGTCAAAATTGGCCCCGCCCCAGGGGGTCATTGATTTTCCCTATATGCATATAGTAAAAACTTAAAAAATCTTCTTTTAAAGAACTCAAAGAGCTAGAGCTAAGATATTTAGCATGAAACATGTTCTAATAGGTGTCTACCAAGTTTGTTCAAATAAAAGCCCTGGGGTCAAAATTGGCTCCGCCCCGGGGGTCATTGATTTTCCTTATATGTGTATAGCAAAAACTTAAAAAAAATCTTCTTTAAAAAAACCCAAATAGCTGGAGTTTAGCTATTAAGCATGAAACATCTTCTAGTGAGTGTCTACAAAGTTTGTTCAAATCAAAGCCCTGGGGTCAAAATTGGCCCCGCCCCGGGGGTCATTGATTTTCCTTATATGACTGTGTATAGCAAAAACTTAAAAATCTTCTTTGAAAAAACCCAGATAGCTAGTGTTTAGATATAAAGCATGAAACATCTTCTAGTGAGTGTCTACCAAGTTTGTTCAAATAAAAGCCCTAGGGTCAAAATTGGCCCCGCCCCAGGGTGTCTTTGATTTTCCCTATATGCATATAGTTAAAACTTAAAAAATCTTCTTTTAAAGAACCCAAAGAGCTAGAGCTAAGATATTTAGCATGAAACATCTTCTAATGAGTGTCTACAAAGTTTGTTCAAATAAAAGCCCTAGGGTCAAAATTAGCCCCGCCCCCGGGGGACATTGATTTTCCCTATGTGCATATAGTAAAAACTTAAAAAATCTTCTTTTAAAGAACTCAAAGAGCTAGAGCTAAGATATTTAGCATGAAACATGTTCTCATGGGTGTCTACCAAGTTTGTTCAAATAAAAGCCCTGGGGTCAAAATTGGCCCTGCCCCGGGGGTCATTCATTAACTTGACTTTTTTTTTTTAGATATATACATATTATATATATACACATATATATTTAATATTTATATATATATATATATATATATATATATATATATATATATATATATATATATACATATTATGTATATATATATATGTATATATATATATTATATATATATATACATATTATGTATATATATATATATATATATATATATATATATATATATATATATATATATATATATACATACATATATACATACATACATATATATATATATATACAACCAAGTTTGTTCAAATAAAAAGCCCTGGGGTTAAAACTGGCCCCGCTCCAGGGGCCTATATACAGGTGAGCGACTTTGGGCCATCATGGCCCTCTTGTTTAAAAAATCTTTGTATTTCCAGATTTTTTGTCCATCTTATTGTTAAAATCTGTGTAACATTTTTATAGGAAGACAATGTGGCAGAAGCAGGTGGCTCGCTGGAGATGAGAGAAGTGCTCTCAAAACAGCTGGAAGATGTCATGTCCAAGTAATCAAACTTAATAATGAATTACCTCCCTTTGACTTGAAATGTTACTTATCTAAATTCAAAAATTGAAAAGAGAAAAAATTAATATACCTAATAAAATAAGGTAATATAAGGTCTCTGCCATATATCTAGATAATAATACTTTTCCTATCAGCATTATCAGTATGTGAAAGTTTCTAACCATTTGAATGTTACAAGTGACATTGAAATGTTCTTGAGGACCGAGGCAGCTTTCACATCCACACATCCACGTAGTACAGTATGACCTGCCTCTACACTGTTACTTGCTAAATTCATTTATTTGAATTTTGTTATTCATAAGGTTTATTATGCACATATTTTATTCAAAACAGAAAAAAAAATACATGCAGCATACAGTCAAGTTTTTGTGTTGTTAGAGCTGATAATAATTATTTTAAATTAAAATGTGATTAGGCTGAAAGTCATTTCATTATTTGAAGAGAAATCAATTGTATTTGTATGAGAAAATCATTTCAGTTCCTTTTTACACATGTTTGGTCAAATTATGTGATAATTATGAAATTTCAGTAACTTGTTGTCTACCTATAAGAAGGGAGGTAATACATATAAGGTTAATCAAAATAGAAAAGGGAGGTAATGAAAAGTCCATTTTTCTCTGATTCACTTTGTTTTACCCAAGAAAAATAGGGAAAAGTTATGGATGGGTAATAAAAATAAAGTTTCCCATTTAAACAGTATTTAAGTAAATTTTTTTATGATTAAAATAGTACCCAAATATTTGTTGTATTACTTTGAATATATATAAAAAAAATTCATGTGGTCAGTTTGTGAAGTGCCAACTATCGGTTGTGCAAAGATTAAATTTTGCCACCCTGTTTATTACAGGGAGATTAAACTCAATGAAAGTCAATCTATAGGATGCTGAGCAAATAGCCTTCAGATGGATGAAATGAGTTTCTGCAAAATTTGATTTTTAGATGATAGAAATAACATTTTTTATTTTGAAGGATTTACTGAATCTTTCCTTTTGAACATATTTTTTTTTTCTGATCAATAGGGGAAAGAAAAGAAGAAAAAGCAAGAAACTAAATTGTAAGTATTTATATCAGGGGTAATCACTGAGTCACACTCTTGTTTACGTATAAAATGTTGAGACAGTCGTAATAAGTCGTAACTTGTGCCACGATACATTTATATCTATAGACATGTTATGGAATATGAATAGTCATCAAATTTACTTGAAGCTAAAATAAAATTTAATCAGGATACAAACACCTCTCATATTTTCATGTTATAAAAAATTTATATATCTACATTGTATTTCGTTTCTCAGATAAATAATACTTGGTTAGCTTGAATAATTTTTATATGGTTTTTATCTGAACAGGTAGTGGTCAGGTTGGAACCCCAGAGGACCAGTCCGGTTCCAAGCGAAGAACACAAGGTTATACTTTTATCTTTGAATTTTTCTTTGAAAAAATTTTTTTATGGAAAAATAATGTTCAGTGCAGAACAGGTCCTTGTTTTATTTGGAGTATTTAGTAATAATTTTTTCATGATCTGTGATTCTTGACTGTAATATAAAACATATTGCTCCTGATACTGTCATTATATTTGTATCTGATAGATGCAAGACCTGTCACACTTTTTTTCATTGGTCAAAATGCACATTAAACTTGTTTCTGTTTGACACAATGTGGCAATAATACTACAGAATCTTCTTTGCCACCAATATAGAGCTATGCTAGCCTATATAACCATGCAGTCTGATTGTTGCTAAATAGCCTAATTACAGTCAGGATTGATGTTTAATCATGTTTATAAAACTTTGTAAAGAGTGTTATATTAATTTTGGTTTTTGTTTCCTACAGAGAATATACAGAGGAATTCAAGTAGTAGAAGTTTAAGAAGCATGGCTGATGGTAAATATATGCTAAAATATTTTGTTTTATCCAACAAGCACCGAATGTGATTAGCGGTTACCACTAGTATAGAGCCAGGTCTGCCTGTACTGTCATGTAGTCTTACTCTACATTGTTGGCTAAAATTTCCATCCTTATATTCCAAATATTGATAATTGCACAGTTTCCAAAATTTAAGAAATTCAGCACCTTAAGGTCTAACATAATTACATAAACTTTATAGCTGTATATTTAGGAGCCAATAATGCATGTATTTCTTTACCTGTTATTTTCATAGGATATATTATGTTTGATAACATATATATACATAATGTGAATAAAATTTGAGAATTAGTTTAATGTAATTACTGACATAGATATATTGTTATATAAGGCTTATGTAAGAATTTCCCATGGGGCATCTGTGGTCGAGTGGTTAAGGTTGTTGACTTCAAACCACTTGCCTCTCACTGCTGTAGGTTCAATCCATGCCAGCGCTTGAATTCTTTCATGTGAGAAAGCCATCCCTCCATTACTATTGAACTGTTTATATGTGCATTTCAAGCAGGACTAGTCCATTATGCAAATTCATCAGGTCAAAGGTTTAGGTTGTAATTAAATATCATGTATTGTGTTTGAAGTATTTGTGAATCTGTATTTTAGAAGCTGAAGAAGAAAAAAATGCAGCTGAAGTGGCGCCGTCACAGTCCGTGCATGTCAGTTGGGATGATCCAATGAGCAGGTAAACATAGTTGTACAATAGAAAGATTGAGCTTCGATGGTTGAGATGTTGAAGTGTTTGACTTTTCAGTGCATGCCCCAGGCAATTACTAGTTAACCTGATGATCTATATTTTTATAATTTACGTCTAACAGGAAGCATGTAGAGAAATTTCATCATATCAATTATGCTAAAAATATAAAAATGTTGAGAGTTATGTAGGAGGTCGTTGAACTAATTACACTGTTTACCATTATGATCTTTTTTGGCTTACATATATGTATGCATTTTAACTCAGTACTTGTATACTGATAATATTGATATTTTTGCACTTTAAAAAAGCCAACGTCTGGATTAAATTGTATAGAGTAAGAATCTGTTTTTCAGACTGGAGCAAGCAAAATTGGCTCATAAGTTGGAGCGTGCCAACAGTCCGACACAGGAAGTTGGTGGCATGTACGGCATGGATGACGAGGATGCCCAGTACTCGGAATCTGACAATGAGACAGAAGTTCCTGTACCTCCGTTTGGAGAGCAACAACTTGTATGTCCATTTCCAGCCCCTTCTTAACCCCAACCCCCATTTCTTACTCACTTTCCCCCACATCCATGCTTTTATCATTGATTATGTTAGACAGGAAATTGTATTTGTCACAGAGTACATGTTACACCTGAAAGCTGCAACAAAATAGGATAACATTAAAAAATACATTGTTTGTATAATGATCTATATTGCTTCTTTAAGAAAATGAAAGAATGTAAGTAAACCAAGGCATTTTCTTGAAATGTTTTATTGTAAAGCATACTTTAATGGTGGACCAATTTTTAAAACTGCATGTAGCTGACAAGCTTGACTAGTTCAAAGACCATAACATTTATTAACCTTAATTTACTCAATTTGTTAAATGGACACTCCCTGCATTCAAAAATGGAACTGTGAACTGACTTTGGCCCCTGGGTGGGGGTATGTCCTGTAATAGACTATATTGATCTAACAGTTAAAATTGACACATTGCAAATCTCACTTATTTTATAGCACAAAATGTCACAGTAACATAGCAAAGTGATGTATTGATGTAGAGTACACTTTAGCTATATTTGTATTTAGTGTTTAATTTTTTTTTCTGTATATTAAACATCAAACTTTCTTGTCAGTTTGTAAATGTGATAATTTATGAGTGTGGGGAATATATAATCAATATATGATTGATGATCATGAATGCAATAAGCTCATTGGCTGATATTTTACCATCACACCTGTTGACAGATTTCATGAGCGTTTCCTGTTATGTTTAATAGCTAAGTTGTTTCAAAATCTAATGCCTGAAAATTTAACAAAATTGATAGGTTTGGGTTACGGAACAGGTTGTTATGCATTTTGTAAAAACTTTAAACTTCGTTTAAAGGAGGTGTTTTTATACCTTTATGGTCATCTTTCAAAAAAATTTACCGTAGATTGTCACCCATGTGTGTGTTTGGTTTGATTACCCACACCACCAGTAAACACCATATGGACAAGCACAAATCCCTGGTTTAAGCACAATGTATTTATAAAATGTTCCCAAGCCAATTATTACTGATGATTTATGTATGTGCGATTTCACAAAATTAGGTACTTTATCACAATACAAACAATTGCTCTGCCAATTTTTATATGGCCAGAATATAGTGTTGTATCCTGTAAATATTTTCTCAAAATGTTTATTAAATACTGTAATATATAAATATAATATAATTTAAGATTCAAGAGAATACCACACCAAGACCTGTTGGCAACAGTGGAAGGAAGAAGACCCCTACACCAGAAGGGCCATCAATTGGTAGGTGTAGAAATAATAATTTTAGGTCACCACAGATTATATCTGTACTGAGATTTCGGTGCAGCATGATTTTCTGAAACAATTTTGTTTTCCTTTTACTGAATATAATTTTTTGGGAACATGTTGGCAATATCAGGTTTGTATTGGTTGGGATTCTAAGAAAACTTATTAGATTACTGTTTACCAATTTATGATTGAATCATGATTAAAACTAGTGCAAATCCAACCCATTTTAGACCATTAGTCTGATACTTCCTGTCAGAATATGTTTTAAGGCTTAATATTGACAAAGCTTAAATCGGACAAAAGATGGCTTAATATTAACAAAATAACAACCTTAAATCTGACAAAAAATGACTTAGTATTGACAAAAAACCTTAAATATGACAAAATATAACTTATACCTGACAAAAGATGGCTTAAATATAACAAAATATGACTTATAGCTGACAAAAGATGGTTTAAATCTGACAAAAAATGACTTATATTTGACAAAAGATGGTTTAAATCTAATAAAATATGACTTATACTTGACAAAACTTGGCTTAAAGGGATATTCAGACAAAATAAATACAAAAATATCAAAATGATTTTATGTACTCAATTCATGCTAAAGTGACATTTCTTGAAGTTTCAGCATGAATTTCTGTTTAAATTCTATATATTTTGGTTTTAAAGCGTAAATATATATGTTGAACAAAATTTAGACGCCAATAGAATTTTGACTTGAACAAACCATTGAAATTACAATAACAGATATTATGGATATTGTATGATTGAAACAAGTCTAAGTCATTCATTTGACATGTTCTTTAAGGTTTCCAGAGAGTACTTTGATAGCTATTTTGAAATCCTAGCACTCTAACCTGACCAACGCGGGTCAAGTTAGGAAATCACCATTTTATTCTTTATACGGAGAAAAGTTTTGTTCCTTTGACTGTCTAATATATTCATTTTGAGGGCAATTACAGATTAATGATTGAAAATTCAGAACTAAGATATGAAAATTTTGCCTCTGTCTCCCTTTAAATCTGACAAAAGATGACTTATACTTGACAAAAGATTGATTTAATCTGACATACGATGGCTTAAATTTAACAAAAGATGACTTATACTTGACAAAAGATGGCTTAAATATGACAAGAGATGACTTATACTTGAGAAAAGATGTCTTAAATATGACAAAAGATGTCTTAAATTTAACAAAAGATGGTTTAAATATGACAAGAGATGACTTATACTTGACAAAAGATGGTTTAAATCTGACAAAAGATGACTTATATTTGACAAAAGATGGCTTATATCTGCCAAAAGATTGAATAAACTTAAAAGAATATTACTTAGATCTGACAAAAGATAGATTATATTTGACAGAAGATGACTTAGATCTGACAAAAAGATGGTTAAGACCTGACAAAAGATAGCTTAGACGTGAGGTGAGAAAAGATGGTTAAATTAAAATCCTTTATTAAAAATTTTCCATATAGTTGTTGGATTAATGTATAATGATTTTGATAATGTTTTTCAGCTTTCCCAACTTCAAACAAGTCTAGCAAGGTAACACCACCAAAGGCTGTTGAATTAGAGCAACAAGAAGTAGAAGTTGTACAGAAACCCCCACCTGTGTTCATGCTATCTGGAATGTTAGGACCTGTAAGTTTTTAAAATGTACTTGCCACAAGTATTTTGTCAAACATTAGTTTTATGTTTAATCAACTAAAATATATTTGGCTAGGTCAGAATCTCTGCAGGCTTGAAAATATCAAGTGTGTTACATTCTAGTAAATACTACGTGAGTCTAACATAATTATTATGTCAAGAATCCATTTATATACCTCCTAATATTTAAACTTAATTGTCAGCAATATCATTCCTGTTGACATGTGGATACAATATGGATTTTCTTCACATGGGTCATATTTGTGCATGTAATACATGTAGTTAGCAAGATAACATTCTATGGTGTGTGTTATAGATACCGTACATATGTATATTTACTATCCAGGAACGTGATGATTATGGTGCCCTTATAGAACAATTGGGAGGAACTGTGTTAGATACGGGCATGTTTGATGATAAATGTACACATCTTGTGATCAGTAAGTTATCTCATTATATAAATATTGTCTATTATAGCATAAAATCGGCTATTATTCCCTCTTTTGCCCATGTTATAATGGGACCAAAACCATGCGTTAACATAGTCACGCGCTCTTGTTATAGCCCGGTTTTACCTATGCGCAATACATGCAGGGCCCAGAAAACAAACAAATAATGACGATTTGGCCTGTTTGCCAGAGTCATGTGCTCTTGTTATATTGGAATTATTAATTCAAGGGCCTCGGTCGCATATTCAAGTAATAATGCCGGCAATACAGCGTATAGACATCGCCGCTTATCTTGGTTGTCGCCCTTTCTTAGAAACGGACAGTTGTCAATGTAAACAAATAGAATCTGTCAGTCAGTTTAAAATCCCCCGATTAACTTACAAAAATGGAAAGCACAAAATGAATATAAGAAAACGTTGTTTTATTGACGTTTATATTGATAAATGTTCTGTATGTTTCTTTGAGAGAATAATGTTTTATGCCTGATTTTTTTTTAAACTTGCGTGCTTAAAAAACCGATTCTGAAATTGAATCTGATGTCACTGATCTTTTTCCTACCGCCAATCTATAACCATTCTAGGAATTTCTGAGGCGCCTGTTTTGTCTTTGGTAGAGTAATGATATGTTTTTCTTATGTTAATATATCTCCAAAGTTAAACTTTGTTAAATCAATTAAAATTGGAAATTTTGTTCGGTTCTCAAGTTGTTGGCCCGGAAAAATAAAACGCATACGTAAAGCATGTAGAGTTGGATAAATACCGTTCAAGCACAAGGATTTAATGTTTGTGTTTTATATATATTATACATCACGAATCTGTTTTAGAATATTATGCTATAATAGCGTCAACGCATGTTTATTTTGTGTTATAAAGTCTGCAGAGTCCCTCGGAACTGTTGGAGCCCTCGCCCTACCGGGCTCGGGCACCAACCGTTCCTCGGGACTCTGCAGATGTTATAACACGGAAAAACGTGCGTTAACCCCATATAATCACAGGATTAATACAACTAAGTTACCACATACTCACCTCTTTCATGTGTAGAAGCTGTCCTGATGTAATGCAAGGAGGACTGACTGTGTTGTGTCCTGGCTTCATATGTGTGTTTGAATAGTACATAAATAGAATGTTGCTGCATAACCTGATTAACGTGAACCTTTGTTCAAAACTGCCCAGACTGGTTTGAAGCAGATTAATTTTTGATAATAGTAAGAAATAGATGTTTTTATTATACCCCCAAAAACGAAGTTTGGAGGGTATATAGGAGTCAACCGGGCGGTCGGTCCAGATGTCCGTTGCATTTTCCTTGTCCGGAGTATAACTTGAAGACTAATGGTTGGAATTTAATATAACTACATACAATGGTCAAGCACATTGAGAGGAAGTGCAGTGCACAAGAACCATAACTCTATCTAAAGTAATAACAGAGTTATTGCCCTTTGTTGCTTTTCCATTGCCTTCTTTTTTTGTCCAGACCATAACTTGAAGACTAATGGTTGGAATTCAATATAACTACATACAATGGTCAAGCACATTGAGAGGAAGTGCACTGCACAAGAACCATAACTCTTTCTAAAGTAATTACAGAGTTATTGCCCTTTGTTACTTTTCCATTGCTTTCTTTTGTTCGGACCATAACTTGAAGACTAATTGTTGCAATTCATTATAACTTCATACAATGGTCCAGCACATTGAGAGGAAGTGCAGTGCACAAGAACCGTAACTCCATTTTGACTTATTACAGAGTTACTGCCCTTTGTTTCTTTTCCTTGTCCGGAGCATGACTTTAAAACTACTGGTTGGAATTCAAAACAACTTCATACAATGGCCAAGCACAATAAGGGGAATTGCAGTGCACAAGAACCATAACTCCATCTTGACTAATTACAGAGTTATTGCCCTTTGTTACTTTTCCATTGCTTTCTTTTGTCCGGACCATAACTTGAAGACTTATTGTTGGAATTCATTATAACTTCATACAATGGTCAAGCACATTGAGAGGAAGTGCAGTGCATAAGAACCATAACTCCATCTTGACTATTTATAGAGTTACTGTCCTTCGTTACTTTTCCTTGTCCAGAGCATGACTTGAAAACTACTGGTTGGAATTCAAAACAACTTCATACAATGGGGTAGCACAATAAGGGGAAGTGCAGTGCACAAGAACCATAACTCCATCTTGACTAATTACAGAGTTATTGCCCTTTGTTACTTTTCCTTGTCCAGAGCATAACTTGAAAACTACTGTTTGGAATTCAGTACAACTACATACAGTTGTCAAGAACATTAAAAGGAAGTGCAGTGCACAAGAGCCATAACTCCATTTTGACAAAATACAGAGTTACTGCCCTTTGATTCTTTTCCTTGTCCGGAGCATAACTTGGAAGACTTACTGGTTAGAATTCAAAACAACTTCATACAATGGTCAAGCACAATAAGAGGAAGTGCAGTGCACAAGAACTATAACTCTATCTTCAGTATTTATAGAGTTATTGCCTTTTGTTCTTTTTCTTTGTCTTTCTGGACTTATTACAGAGTAATTCAATTAAACTTTATCAATGGCTAACCTTATTGAAAGGAAATGCAACATACATGAATTATCTTTAATTGCCCACAACCATAACTCTATGTTTCAATTATATTACAAGGTATTCTGTTACTAGTAACATCCTCATTTCCGAAGCAGACTTGTAGGGGTATTAATCACATTTAGTGATAGTTCTAGTTATGCCACCGCAGCATCTGCGATGCGGTGGCATATAGCGATTCACCTGTGTGTTTGTTTGTGTGTGTGTGTGTGTGTGTTATATAGATTATATAGTGAACTTAAAAAATCTTCTTGTGAAAAACCACTTGTCCAATTTCAACCAAACTTGGCAGGATTGATCCTTGGGTGAAGGGCTTCCAAAGTTGTTCAAAGAATTTCATTCCATGCAGAAATCTGGTTGCCATGGCAACCAAAAGGAATTATAAGAATAAATTTAAAAAATCTTCTTGTAAAGACCCAAAAGGCCTAGAGCTTAGATATTTTGCATAAGGCATTGTCTGGTAGACCTCTACCAAGATTGTTCAAATTATAGCCCTGGGGTCAAAATCGGCCCCGCCCGGGGGTCATTGATTTTCACTATATGTACATATAGTAAAAACTTAAAATAACTTCTTGTAAAGACCCAAAAGGCCTAGAGCTTAGATATTTTGCATAAGGCATTGTCTGGTAGACCTCTACCAAGATTATTCAAATAATAACCCTGGGGTCAAAATTGGCCCCGCCCCGAGGGTCATTGATTTTCACTATATGTACATATAGTAAAAACTTAAAATAACTTCTTGTAAAGACCCAAAAGGCCTAGAGCTTAGATATTTTGCATAAGGCATTGTCTGATAGACCCTTACCAAGATTGTTCAAATTATAGCCCTGGGGTCAAAATCAGCTCCGCCCCGGGGGTCATTGATTTTCACTATATGTACATATAGTAAAAACTTAAAATACCTTCTTGTAAAGACCCAAAAGGCCTAGAGCTTAGATATTTTGCATAAGGCATTGTCTGGTAGACCTCTACTCATATTGTTCAAATTATAGCCCTGGGGTCAAAATCGGCCCTGCCCCTGGGGTCATTGGTTTTCCTTATATGTATATAGAAAAAACTTTATAGTAAAAAAAGTTCTTCTAGCAAATGCTAGAGGTTAGATATTTTGCATGAAACATTGTGAAGTGAACTTCTAGCAAAATTATAGCCTTGGGGTCAAAATTGCCCCTGCCGGGGTCATTGATTTTCAATATATACATATAGTAAAAAATAAAAAAATCTTATTGTCTGAAGGTACAAGGCTTAGAGCTTGAATATTTGTTAAATGATATCATCTATAGGTACTCTACCAAAGTTGTTCAAATTTTGCCTCTTGTGTCAAAATTAGCCCCGCCCCATGGGCCATAGGTTTTCCTTATATGTATATAGTAAAAACTTAAAAAATCACCTTCTCTAAATTTACAAAGGCTAGAGTTAAGATATTTTGCATGAAACATTATGTAGTGAACCTCTAGCAAGATTGTACACATTATAGCCCTGGGGTCAAAATTGGCCCCACCCCCAGGAGTCATTGATTTTTACTATGTACATATAGTAAAAAAAAAAAGAAATATTTTTGTCTGAAGGTACAAGGCATAGAGCTTTGATGTTTGCTCTATAATATATTCTATGGGTTCTCTACTAAAGTTGTTTTAATTATGCCCCTAGTGTTAAAATTGGCCCTGCCCAGGGGCAGTGATTCTCATTATGTTCACATAGTAAAAACAGAAAATAAAACAAATCTTTTCTGAATAGGAGAAAGCTACAGCTTAGATATTTGACTTGAAATGTTGTTTGGTGGACCTGTATCAAGATTGTTTTGAATTAAACCCTTGGGTCCAAAATTTTGCCTTGCCCAAGGGGACAGTGACCTACTTTCTTGTCCTTTAATGTACAGCAATGAAATTTTGACCATGTGCACAGTTTTAGTTGTAAAATTGAACTTTGATATCAGGTGAACTAGATTTTGATGATGTGACCTACTTTCTTGTCCTTTGATGTACAGCTATGAAATTTGAACCATGTGTACAGATTAAGATGTTAAGTGAACTTTGATTTCAGCTGACCTAGATTTTGACAAAGTGTCTTACTATGTTGTCCTTTGATGTAGTCATGAAATTTAGGCTGTGTGAAATATGACCTTCACCACCAAATTCACTAGACTCAAGTGCATTGATATATTCCTACTCTGATCTTTTATTGAGTTAACAACAGATTTAACCACTAATCTGATAATAAGAATTAGATAGGTCAGGGATCTATGCATTATGACAATCTTCAAAATTGTATAGAAACAAAGAAAATCTGTTCCTACACTACTATTTAGTGTTGTATTAATGCGGTGGCATAGCATTTTTCTCAAATGCAATCTTGTTTATGTTTAGTTTTGTATACATAATTTGAAAATTAAGAATAAACTAGTATACTAGCATAATGAAGCATATACGGTTGCTTTGTTTTTAGCTCGGGTGTCGAGAAATGAGAAATTTCTAGCTAGTATAGCATCAGGAAAGTGGGTGTTGCACAAATCTTACTTTGAAGCCTGTAGACAAGAGCAGAGATTTGTTGATGTAAGGTGCTAATGTTTACTTGTGATATATCATCATAGAAAATCTTTTACTTTGTCACCTTTATACAAAAAAAGACAATAAAAATTATGTGAAGAAATGGAAACTTTCTGTGTTCAAAATAAGTCTTGGCCTGGCAGCATAAATAAATAATGTTTAAATTTAAAAGTAGAGTATATACATGTGTAATATAAAGCATTGTATCTTATATTAAAGATGGTATAATAATTGTGAGGAGATGTTTTTGTAGGAGGATTTCTATGAGTGGGGGAGTGAGGGTACACTAAGTCTAGTAAAGAATATGGAATCAAATGTAAGAATGTTGGCAGCTGCTGCTAGAGACTGGAGGATTAAGATACAGGAGGAGAAACGTGTAAGTTTTAATATTTATTACAGGTGACATTTATTTCTTCATATGCATATTATGTAATTTGGAAGTTTTGTTGTTGTTGGTTGTTTTTTTTTTTTTTTTTAACAAACAAACAAAAAATTAGAAAAAAAATCAGATTATTAGTGACAGTTCTAAAGATTTTCTTCCTAACAATTTGATTAGACTACTAGAATAAATGTTTCAAATTTGAGATGGCTTTCAAGCTTTTTCTCTAGATTTAAATTCATTTTGTATGGACATAAACAAGTTTTTTGACCAATAAAGGTAATTTGATTTTAAATTGATACTTATTTGTTATTGAACCAATGCTTGGTCACATATTAAAGTGAAAAATATACCGCCTCCATGGTTGAGGTGTTAGAGTCGATGCCCATTAATTTAGGTACCTCTCTGGCGTGGGTTCGATCACCGGGAGATGCTTTGGTACTTTAGCGCGGAGGAAGGTAGTCTTGTACTGGTGTAACTCTCCAGGAACGATGGTTAGGAAACTACCCGCCTATATGACTGAAATACTGTTCGAAAAAGGTGTAAAATAAAACAAACAAACAAACAAACAAAAACAAAGTGAAAAATAACAGATATTAATTTTAAAAAAAGATGTAAAGCTTAATAAAAAATCTTAGTTGAGAAACTTACATTGAGTATATAATTTTCACTATTTTTTATCTTTTACAGAAATCACCATCTCATTACGGTGCATTTTGCTCATGGCGTGTTCTGTTGAACTGTGATAGAACAAAGGAGAGTAACTATAAACGACTTCTAGTGGCAGGGGGCGCCACTGTGTTAAATACAAAACCTCCGTATACTGGTAGAATAGATGCTACTCATGCACTACTTGACTTTAATAAAGCTCAGTTACAGCAAGAAGACATGGAAAAGTTGATCGCTAGTGACTGTCTGTGTTTAAAAGTGGACTATATTAGTGGATTTTTGTGTAACCCGAACGTAGACATCACTGATTATATACCAGTTGAAATTGCAGCGTTACAAACAGCGTAAGTATACTGACACGTTTCAATATTATGATTTTTATAGTGCTGGTTTTGTATATACCATAGAGTTTTGCCACAGCTATCTAGCCAGGCCATTCAGTTTGCAAGATTCGACCAGGTTGACAACCACCACTTATCCCCACCCATCCTCTTTAAACAAAGCATACGGTAAGCAGTTCTGAGTTCATAGCAAAACCAGTTTCTTGCTCGAAATCAACAGTGAAATTATTATTTATATATGTTTATTATGATTTTGAAATTTAGTTATTTGTCTGTGTTCTATATACATTTTATTGTCTTTAAATTAAATTAAGAGTTATTCAAGTTTCTGCATGGAATGATGACTAATTAAAATTTCATTTTTAGAATGTCAGATGTTAGCGAAAGTACCGGCAAGAAAAGAAAGGCTTCAAGTAGTGGTAACCCAGTGAAAAGAAGTAAAAGGAAATAACACCATCTCGTGAATTAAGTTGTTTAATGTCAGTGAAATAGTAGCCAAATTGAACAATAATTTTATATGCAGCTATTCTAAAAGTGACCTTATTTGTAAGAAAATTTGTTATGACTGTGTCGAAAAAAAACAACGCCAGAATTAACAAGTTTTGAAAAAGATAGACTTTTGTATGAAATGGAAAAAAACACAATATTTTACAGGTTTTTGAATGTGGGATTGATATTTGTGTTTAAATAAATAATATAATAAAATGTGTACATTATTTAGTGCTAGTACTATGTTGCTATGCAAAGCACTAAATTTAAATAAAAGTCAGTACTAATACCTTGTGGTATGCATGATTTTAAATAAGATACCAGTACTAATAATTACAAGTGCTTGCCTGTTAGATAAAGCACTCTTTATTTTAAGCATGAAATCAATAGCTAAGTTATTATTGTAAATTATGAATGATGGAAGCAAGTAAAAGAATGTGCAGGATACAGTAAATCAAAGTTTTACTATCATTTCCTTAAAAACTTTTTTTGATCTTTTATTGTGATTATTTATTCTTCTTTTAGCATTTATGTTGCCAAAACATTTACAGTGTCAATGCTAAATTGTTAGACATTGTAGAATTTAGATAATATAAGGCATCTTTATATGATAATAAGACATTTTTGTGATTTAAAACAAAATAAAATGCGACTGATGTATATTTTTCTTTAGAATAATTAATGTTCATAGCTTACTTAAGTTAGAGAGAAAATTGACACAGGGAAATGATATTTTAATATATTTGACATTTTTTTTAGCCTAAAGCATTTGAAATTTTAAATGTATTTTTCTTCTTGGAAAGGTCATTGCCACCAGACACCATAAAATATCAATTAACTTTATATTGATATGCAATTTTGAGGACATAAAGCTACATGCAAGCTTAAATGAAGAAGGTAATTTAGGCCATTATTGACTTTTCAGTAAATTCTAGGCACTCCAATGTGGCTAGGGGTTAGTTTATTTTTGGTGTACAATTTCAAAATCTTGAACTATCAACCTGGTGGAACAGAAAAAGATCAGGGTTTGCCACTAGTATATTACAGCCAGGCCAGCCTGCACAAGTCTGACCAGGCTCTTTACAGTGGGTTACTAGGCAGCTCAATCTTTTATGTGTTTTGATAATAAAATGTGTAAAAATCACTTAATTTTCAAGTGGAGTGTTCCAATTTCGAAGATGGGCAAATCCATTTCACAAATTCAGGTAAAAGGTTAAAACATTTTATATGACTGTTGAATAATAAACAAAATTGTAAGACAGATGAAATAGGAAATATTTTAAAAAAAAAGATAAAATAATGAAAAAATGTTGGAGAAAAACAGCAAAGATGAATATTGACTAAGTTAAATCAAAATTTCAAAAAAATGGATTACAGTGTCTATTACACTTCTTTCTTATGAGTATATCTTTTAAAAATAGAATTGTGTGAAGCGACAGGTGCTAGTGGCAACGTTCAAATTAAACTTTGAAATATAGCAGCAATTCCAAAGCCTGGTAAGAAATGCCATCAAAATGGTGATGTCTTTAACTCTGATTTCATTGTTAGATTTGAACTTGTTCTCTTACAAGAACAGTGATTAGTTCTTGATGGATTGAACACATCCTAAGGAAAGTCTTCTAAAGTTGTCCATCGATTTATGCTTTAAATAGGCTAACTTATCATTTTTTAGCTCGACTATTCGAAGAATATGAGAGCTATTGTAGTCGCCCCGGCGTCCGCGTCGGCGTCTGCGTTGGTTAAAGTTTTTTGTAAAGTCAAATATCTCAATTATTACTTGAGATATTCAATTGAAACTTACAATACTTATTTATAGTAACAAGGTACATCAGATTGACAAGTTGGATAACTCTGCCTACAATATTGACAGAATTATGCCCCTTTTTAACTTAGAAATTTTGGTTAAAGTTTTTTGTAAAGTCAAATATCTCAATTATTGCTTGAGATATTCAATTGAAACTTACAATACTTATTTATAGTAACAATGTACATCAGATTGACAAGTTGGATAACTCTGCCTACAATATTGACAGAATTATGCCCCTTTTTAACTTAGAAATTTTGGTTAAAGTTTTTTTGTCAAGTCAAATATCTCAATTATTGCTTGAGATGTTCAATTGATATTTAAAATACTTTTTTATAGCAACAATGTTCATCAGTTTGCAAAATTGCATAACTGCCTGCAATATTTGCAGAATTATTTGCCCCTTTGAAACTTAGAAATTTTGGTTAAAGGTCTTCAAAGATATTTACTTGAAACTTTACACATGCACTTAGGGTCATAATTGGAGGGTCATAATTGTATGTCACTGACCAAGTTCCATAACTCTATCTTGCATTAAGGCTGATTCATATCCCCTTTTCTACTTAGTCTCTTGGTTAATGTTTACATGCAAGTTTTACATGTCTCAATAACTGTTAAAGATATTTATTTAAAACTTCACATATGCATTTAGGGTCATAATTGTAGGTCACTGATAAAGATCCATAATTATGTCTCCCCCACCTCGGGTGTCTCCCCCACCTCGGGGGGAGACATATTGTTTTTGCCCTGTCCGTCCGTCAGTCCGTCCGTCCATTCTTCGTTACCGGACGATAACTAGAGTTCCTTTTGACCTACAGCTCTCAAACTTCATAGGATGAATGGTCTTATTGAGCAGATGATCCCTATTGTTTTTGGGGTCAGTAGTTCAAAGGTCAAGGTCACAGTGACCGTTGGTCAATTTCTCGTTTCCGGATGATAACTAGAGTTCCTTTTGACCTACAGCCCTCAAACTTCATAGGATGATTGGTCTTATAGAGCTGATGATCCCTATTGTTTTTGGGGTCAGTAGGTCAAAGGTCAAGGTCACACTGACCGTTGGTCAATTTCTCGTTTCCGGGTGATAACTAGAGTTCCTTTAGACCTACAGACCTCAAACTTCATAGGATGATTGGTCTTATTGAGCAGATGATCCCTATTGTTTTTGGGGTCAGTAGTTCAAAGGTCAAGGTCACAGTGACCGTTGGTCAATTTCTCGTTTCCGGATGATAACTAGAGTTCCTTTTGACCTACAGCCCTCAAACTTCATAGGATGATTGGTCTTATAGAGCAGATGATCCCTATTGTTTTTGGGGTCAGTAGGTCAAAGGTTAAGGTCACAGTGACCGTTGGTCAATTTCTCATTTCCGGATGATAACTAGAGTTCCTTTTGACCTACAACCCTCAAACTTCATAGGATGATTGGTCTTATTAATCAAATGATCCCTATTGTTTTAATGGTCAGTAGGTCAAAGGTCAAGGTCACAGCGACCGTTGGTTAATTTCTCCTTTCCGGATGATAACTAGAGTTCCTTTAGACCTACAACCCTCAAACTTCATAGGATGATAGGTCTTATTGAGCAGATGATCCCTCTTGTTTATGGGGTCAGTAGGTCAAAGGTTAAGGTCACAGTGACCATTGGTCATTTTCTCATTTCCGGATGATAACTAGAGTTCTTATCAGTGAGGACATTTAACTATTATTGATATATCAGTGATATATCAGTTGTCTGGTTTTATATACTCTGTTCTTTTTTGATCTTTCCACCCTTATGCGGTCATTTCTTCCCCGCTGCGCGTTCAATGCTACATGGTCACAGCAAGGTGTATTACACGCATTGTTTTGTTTGCTGATGATAACTACAAATTCCTACTAGCGAGTGAGTTTTCATGCAATATGTAAGTATATAGTATATCACTTTCTATTCTTGTTAACTATTACTAATAGTATACATACATGCATGGCACCATTCAGACTATGTACATATTTATTGGTATTGCGTTACAACTTTCAAGTATCATCAAAATCCTTCAAAGGGTTGAAGAGTTATGGAGCAGACACAATTTCCTTTAATTTCGTTTGTGAAACTATATATGATATGACATTCAAGTGTCAAGTAGACCTTGACCTTGGAACCAGCCATACGAAACATGTACTCTACACGTTCTCTGGATGTGGTGAATTTTTGTTTCAAGTATCTACCAGAGAGGCTTCATTGTGAAAACGAGTGGAGTCATCCCAACACACTACAGTTATCATGATTTTACATACATTGTAATTTGAGTTGTCTTTCAATAGTGTAAAAAAAATCTGACAATATGAACGTTTGTTTCAAGTATCATCAAAATCCTTTAAAGGTTTGAAGAATTATGGAGCAGACACAATTTCATTTAATTTCATTTGTGAAACTATATATGATATGACCATCAAGTGCAATTTCGTTTGACGCCCGCCTGCCATACGCTGATTGAATAACCAGGATTTTCAAAATTGAATACCTGGTTAAAAACAAACAGTTTAGGAAGCATCTTCTCATATAACCTTAACAATAGAAACCATCCATAGACAGCCTTCATTGAAGTGACTACCGGGTATTTACATTATCTTATCTCCATTTCCATTCCTGTTTCCATTCACAGTTATTCTCAGCAGTGGGGGAGACATGCGCTTTTTTACAAAAGCATCCTCTAGTTCTATCTTGCATTTAGGCTGATTTTTTGCTCCTTTTTCAACTTAGAAATTCATGGTAAAGTTTTGCTTGTAAGCTGTTATCTCAATAACTTCTGAAGGGTTTGTGCCTTTTTTGGGACAATTTTATGCATTCATAATAATAAAGCAGTGATTTACTTGATAAAACATCTTAATAACAAGCCTTAGTACCTTTTCTGTCAAATTTATGTATTCATAGGTAATTAGTATTATTATACTCAATAAAACACCCTTGTGACATTACCTTCCGAATAGTCAAGCAAATACTGTATAATTAGACTCTCTCTAAGGCCTATTACATGAATTTATAAAAAAAAAAATTAGCCCTTTTGTGAACTTAAAAAATTAAACATTATCAAGGCACTTTTACTATCAAGCACTTAGAATAGTCGAGCGTGCTGTCCTACCGACAGCTCTTGTTAAACTATTAAATAAAATTATTAATAACTTGGTGCTTCCTGTGAACACATGAATCACACAAAGTTGTCTTTTCTGTGGTTAACATTTATTGAATCTTGTTAATCTTAATTGAATTTTGCATTTACATGTTGTTGAATTCATTTACAAAAACTGCTGATATTCGTTTTTATTGCTTTGTTAATTGTAAAAATTACGTATTTTCTTATGAAATAAAACTTATAATTAAGTGCTATTTGTGTTGTTGCTTTTTAAAAAGCTCTTCTTTTGGAGGAAATAAAGATAATATTATTATTATTATTATCATATAAAACAGTGATGATCCCACTTAAAACTTCACCATATCTGAGGGAAAGTATTTGTTAGTCACTATGCAGGACCCTTAACTTGAGCATGGGTATTTATGTATATAACCTTTTTATGATGTGAACGTTCTTTATGAATGTATTCACTTAAATTTACAATTGTCATACATTTATGTCACTGACATATACCTGTAACTTAAGGGTGTCCTTTTTGAAACTAAAAAAATCTGTCGGCTCTTTACTGTAGGGCTGCGGACTTTTCAGTAGATTGTTGGTCTTGTTTAACTTACAACGAACTCGTTGTTTTGTTTATATGTACTCAACAGTAATATTCTATTACAATAATAACTAACATAAACTGTTATGATTACAATATTTATTACACTCATCAAACATAACAAATATTTAACAACATATAAACTTAACAGAATCTTACATCGAGCAAACAATAACAACAGACAGGCGTGCATCTTTCATAATACATACAATACAAACTCTTTGTCGCAACATGCATTTCAGATTTATACAGCAGCCGATCATATTCGTAACATATGCAAACAATAGACATACATGTTTGTAGATATAATTCTATCATTCACAAAATGAATGCTTTACTATATAGAATTCTTTAAAGAATGTTTATTTAACCAAAATTTTGATAGATAAAGTTAATATACTGGTTTTATATCGTATTCCAAAATTGAGTTGTTTTTTACATTGGTCCGTAATAGTTTTGTTTTCTGTTGAAAAATAAAATCGTTTTAAAGATAGAAATAAAAGAGACAAATACTTGCAAGAAGAATAGACTTATTCCGACAAATACATCATTAGACGGGTAAAGGTGCAAAACGACTGACTAATTTTCTACAACCAAAAGGTTTTTCTAAAATTTTGAAATTTCATAATATCCGAGTCTGAAATTAAAAAAAAAAAGATTTCTTTAAAAGGTATAGTAAATTTTCATTCCTTTAAAACTGCCTTATCTTTTATAGTTTATGGATAAAGCATATTAGGTCATGTTAAAAAAAACCTTTTATGTATTTTAAGTGTTCAGCATATAAACGGGTAAAGTATACATGTAAAAAATCGTATTTTAAGTCAAACTGTTAAAGATAATTTCCGTTGTTCATTATGAAAAAGAAATAGTTAATACGTACTAGTTCTAGTCAAACCGCTAGAGAAATCATTTCCGCTGTTCAATATTAGAAAGAGTTGATGTCCATAAAGAGAAATACTAGTTCAAGTCAAACCGCTAGCAAAATAATTTCCGTTGTTCATATTGAAGAGTTTATATCCATAGAGAGAAATACTGGCTAGCGAAATAATTTCCTTTGCTCATTATTAGATAGAGTTTATGTCCATAAAGAGAAATACTGGCTAGCGAAATAATTTATGTTGTTCATTATTAGAAAGAGTTTATGTTTATAAAGAGAAATACTGGCTAGCGAAATAATTTCCTGTGTTCATTATTAGATAGAGTTATGTACTGGTTCAAGTCAAAACGCTCGCGAAATAATGTCCGTTGTTCATTATTAGAAAGAGTCGATGTACAGAAATACGTACTGGTTCAAGTCAAACCGCTAGCGTAATACTTCCAGTTCTTCATAATTAGAAATAATCGATGTCCATAATTATATATTATTAATTAAAGTAAAACCAATAGTGTACTAATTTTCGTTGTTCATTATAAGAAAGAGTCCATGTTCATAAATTGATAATATAAGTTCAAGTCAAAATCATTGGTGCAATAAATACAGTTGTTTATTGTAACAAAGAACCGATGTCCATAAATAAATAAATATTAAATGAAGTCATTCCAGTGAAACCACTGATGTAATAATTTCCGTTGTTCGTTATTAGAAAATGATATATAAATAGTTCAAATTAGTTTAAGGTTATTCACTCGTCATCAATGTCTATAAATATATAAAATAAGTTCAAGTCAAATTATTAATATAATAATTACCATTGTTCATTTTAAAAGTGATCTGATGTCCAAATACATAATGGTAATATTACTTTAAATATAGGATTAAATAAGAAAAGAGCCAATGTCCATAATTCATGTCAAAACAACTAGTATAATAATTTGCGTTCTTATTAAGTTCAAATTAAACTTTTTCTTATGTCCATTGTATTTAGAAAAGATCGATGTCTATAAACAAATGTGATTAATATTATATTATTCTTTTTCAGTTAATATAAGTTTAAATCATAATAATAATTTCGGTAATATATTTTAAGTCATAAAAACAATCGATATCCATAGCTTAAACGTTGTTGTCAAGTTATAAGTTCAAAATCAAGTGTAATGAGGCGACACTACCATAATGTAGTAACTTAAAATGTAGCATTCAATTTTTCTCCTTGTTCACTTTTTCACCCGTGTTCTATATATTTCCAAATCCGAACAATTAAAGAATACATTAATATAATACAACTCTGATTTTCACAGTCACTCAACATTCAATTTCTCGAGCACGTTTTCAAAGCACACTTGTATTCGACGAGCAGCCGTACAGCAATTACTCAAATGTAGACATGGATATGCAAGTAGTCATGGAGAATTTGGTAGTCATGTAGATTTTTGATGAGTTTTATTACAATGATTCCAAATGTGTTTCCTCTCGCAGATGCTTCACTTCTTACCTGAATTTGGGAAACAAATTCTATGTTTGAGAAACTCAAATTCAATATCTAAGAAACTGAAGAAACAGATATTTCGAGGTTCCGGCAATCAATGACCATGAAGCTAACAAAGCGCTATTGTCCATTCTTTCAATGATCATTACGTCTTTTAGACACATTACACCACCTATTTTGTTAAGATACTTTTTATTCGCGAAAAATATTTTAACTTCAAGAGCTCTTTTAGAATTATCATTTTATGAAACCTAATGTCAGTACTTAAATACTCATTCGAAATACCTCGCTCGTTATTCTTATTGACTGAAATGGCGCTTACACATAACTGTTTATAGCACAATTTTCTTTCAACATTGATTAATTCAAAGTACATTCGGAAGTACTCAATTCGAGTTTAAGAGTTTAGGATTTATTCGAGACCGAGTAGAAGGAATCAGACAAATAATCTCTAATACAAGAACCATCACTTTGAGACAACAAAGAGAACAATGACAGTAATGTAGCCAATTATTTGAAGTTCTCACATACGTAACTTGCTGCAGAATGTACCGAGCCCATTATTCGGTTTGACACGTTGGACAAAGGGTTGATGGTGTCCTGGCTTGTTATTTCCGAACAAAAGCAAGATGATGAACAAGAACCCGATCAGCATAAAAACTGGAAAAAATCAATAAATCATAATTAAATTTTCATATCAAGACGGTTATTTGGTGCACGTGAAAAAATGACAATGTAGACACTTTAAGTAAGTATCCCGTTAAATGAATCAATTTCACGATGAGCTTATTGGTATTCTTATTTGAGAGACCAACTCCCACAATTTTTTACTTCCGGTATGCGCATTTTTCATGTGCATGAAATTAGACTCTAATTGATAACAAATGAAAGTTTAAGAAATTAATCTGAAGTGATATTAAAATAAGAAAGGTAAATAAATCAATAAGTTAACGCGTTACTTACATCCGCCATTTCCGATTCCACCAGCTCCTTGAGTCGATCCGTAGTATGGCATGTAACCATAGCCTGCGGAACCGTAGTCGGCGAGTGCGAGCCCAACAACGCACATAAGGGCAATTATCGCAGCTACTGATGTTTTCATTTTTACCTATAAATAGAAATAACACATTTACTTTCTTCCTGTGGATAACGAAATGGAAATTCTAGAAGTACATTGCATCTTTCTATTAAGCATAATTATTTTGTTTCCCAATTCTATTTTCTATTTTGACCGTATATTTCGTCACCTTAGTGTTGTAACGGATTAACTCTTATTGAATTATATAAGGAGTTAACCTGTTATTGCACTAAAGTGACAATATCTTTCTCTTTTAGTAAATGTACAATAATAACAATAATAATGAAAAGAAAGAATATGGCAAGTTTTTGTATGCAAAAATCTGTAATTGCCAACTTAAATATGTAAATTATATTTTTCAGTGAATGAAACTATTTTTTAAATAAAATTAATATCAATTAAGTTAAAACCAATGCTACTGCAATTATTCAGCAAATCAAATAAGCCGCAATAGATATACAACTATGATGTACCTATGAAAGACACCTACCTTTTTGAAGTTTTTTCTTTAACTTAACGATGTACCCGACATGTGCGGTTTATAACCTAAGACTACCCGGAAATCAATTACCGACCAGACAGTGAGTGCTAGGGGCGACACTTAGTGTAATATGAGGTAGGTTTGTATATCCGGTAACTGACATCCGTGTTTAAATTCTAATATCATTTGACATAAATTCATTTTAATTTAAAATAGATGTTCATTAAGAATTTGATTTCGCACATAGTGAGAAAGATATGTTTTGTACTACATGTATATATAAATTTATTGAAGTTGGAACTGTGACCCAATCTTTTCAAATTTTCGAAAGAAAAATAAATAGTTACCTTGTAGAATTTGCCAATATTGCGATTTAAACTGATTGCCCCTCTGACATTCAAGGGGCTAGTAAACACACAGAGGGGCTTATTGCCCTAAGTCTGCACTAACCAAAAGTAATGTATTGAAACCATTTTCGTGACCCCTGAGTATATATTCTAAATACATGTATAAGAATTGTGTAAAATTTTGATCTTGAAGAAAAAACTTACCAATTTAGCGTGTGACAAATTCTTTGAATTGCCTTAGCCGAGTCTTGTACGATTTTGAATAAGACTCATGATTTACTGCGGAATGACACGATATATTTTACGATTTGTCAATAAAAATACAAGCACATACATCAACTTTACAGTTCGGGACCTATTTCAAGGCTATTTGTAGAACATTTTTTTTATTTACATTTTCTTCAATCTATCCATTTGTTTACCCATAGAAACTAGAAGATCGTTTTGAAGAAATAGCCGCCTTTGTACTTGTATAGTAAAGTGAGGAGACACGTGTGCTTTTTTTAATTTTGGTCAGATTTGGTCAGATTTTGCTAACGTGTCTTATCCTTTTAAAATGTCTTATCAACTATGTTTTTGCTTAAGTCTACTTGGCTTTTTGGTTGTCCTTTGCGTATTTAATGTATATACTATTTTATTATACGGTTTACTCGGGATTATTAATTAATGATCAAGGCATTACGCTTTAAAATAAGACTTATGATTTCTTAGCTTTCCTTACGGCATAGGATATTTAGCATACCCGTTATGTCACAGTATATATGAAGGTAATCTGGGATGTACTATAACGGGATATGTCACTCGCGCTTTCTTATCAGTGCCAATGTTGGTGTCCAATTGGAATCGATCGATCGATAAGCGCCGTGTATAAACGCCGTAATCACGGTACATGCCGGGTTGATCGGATATATTCCGTGCATAAATTTTCCGGTGATTTTGGGAGGTGGGCAATCAAAATAGTAGGAAAAAAAGGTTGTTGGTTTCTTAAATACTTTTTTCATTGGATCAATTTTAAAAATATTAATATTAATAAATATGAAACAGATACAGAAAAGTAATTTACCATAGTTAATTATGATAGAAAATTTACGTTTTGTAATTAAAATACGTTCAGAAATAACTTAATCATTAAATTTCAATTATAGCTTTAATTACATGGTTTATATTAATTATAGAATATAATTATGTCAAATGTGTCAATAAACATAGAAATTATTTTGTATTGGGACTCATTATTTATGTAATTAAAGTGTACAGCTGCTATAAAAATGTTTATAACATGTAATAATTTTTGGTTTAATAAAATGTCTGACCTTTGTTTTATTCATGTTTGTTTTCAACATGGCCTTTGATAATCTTTGATGTTTAAACATATTTTTCACATATATTTGTAATTATGTTCTTATTTAGCTTTAATCTTCATTTTTGAATAGATTGTTTTCTTACTTCACACAATAATGCCCTTTTAAAATATGCTATTGAATGACAGTTTTAATTATAAATTATAACTCAAATTTTTCATAAAAAGATAACAGTTAAGATGCAATGTTCATATATGAAATTTATACATACTGATACACTGCAATATGGCATATGGAAAATCGGATTTTGTTCTCTTTGAGGATATTGATTTAGATTTTTTTCTTGGTGAATTTACAGCTAGTGAATATGAAAATTCTGAGGATGAGGATAAGATAAGTGTAAAATCTAAAGAGGATAAAAGAAAAACTTATGTATGTGATCAGTGTGATAAGTCATACAATTCTGTATCGGGTATAAGAGGACATTTAAGGAATAAACATTGAGTTAAGAATGTTAAAGGTTAGAAAAAACTTTTTTATGCAATGTTTCTTACTGTGGGCTTTTTTAATTGTAAATAGTATAACAACTAAGATTCATATTTGCAATGGCCACGTCATACTGGTCACCAACCTGCATAACCATTGTTAGAGTTCCAGCTTCGACCCATTTGTCATGTGACATTTTTGTATGTATATATATATGCATCAGACCAGTGGACAATATATCTGTGATTTTTTATACTGAACCACTGACTTAGTAAAATTCTTTTACTCGTTTATTTAAAGGCTAGGCAGCATGAAGGACTACCTAGTTGATAAAAAAAACACTTTATCAATATATTACACATTACAATTTTTTTTAAATATTTATTTCATCTTATGAATATTAGCTGTACAAATGTAAACATAATTGGAATACAAATACAAAAAATATTGTGAAATGAACAAAGAAATACTTGACACATTGAAATCGGCACTTATAATCTACATAAATTACCAAAAAGAAGTCAAAATGTGCATGAATGGCCCCTACTGCGTTAGTAACGCAGTATAAATATGGTGATAAATACTGCAATATACAGTCATTAATTGCACATAAGATATAAATTATCACTTGAATCTTTGATCTGTTTACTTTTTCTTAAAGTTTTAGTATGTTTTTTTCCAAGTGTAATTTCTTTGAAATATTTTGGGTAATCTGGAGGCATGCGGCTTTGAAAAAATGTTTCATCAGATATATGAATGCACAAGTAGGTCCAATTCATTTTCTCTGTGACACGAATACATATTTTAATCCTTCAATCTGAATCGACAAATTCATGGTATCTTTTGTGACCTTACACTCAGTATCTTGTTCATCATCAGTTTTCAATCTTCGATAAACCTGCAATTGAGATTGAAATAATATTATACAAAAAATAAGGAAATAAAAGACTTTAAAAGTGCAAATAACAATTGACACCATGACAGGATATCATTCATGATATCCAATGACACAGCTAAGGAATCTATAATTTTTAATAAAGATGTTGTGTTTTTTTTCATTCAGATAACAAATTATGGTTTTCAAAAATTAAAAGAAACCCTACCTATTTCTAAAACATTATTTTTTGTACTTTTTAAATATCAAACGACTTAACTGCAAATTCGTCAATTTATGGTTTGGTCTCAGATTTCACCAAAAAATTGTTGAAATTTGACACAGCGTAATGAAAAATCCTACAAGATAATTGATCCAATTTTATTTTCTTGCTATAGATATGTTTATGTTTTACTAAAAAATACTAACATGGGACAAATTTAATTAACATATAACGTTCATTTACGGGACAAAAAATGTACATCACGTTTGCATTCCGCCATTTTATTTTTCGGATTTTTGTCACAGTTCATAAAATTGGAACCCGTAAAATTTCATTTTATCTCACTAAAATTCCATAATCTTAACGTTAAACCAAAGATATTTAAAGGATCTATCAAAATATTCTGTCAGTTTTCTTGTAATTTACTTATTTAAACGAAGTTTTGCAGACAAAAATTACCCTTTCACGGCGATCAACACAAAACATCAGTTCGATTGAAATTTTTATTCTTTCAACAGACACAGTTTTTCACATTAGATACTTTATACACCATGTTAAAAATACATCGGATCAATGTCATGATACTTACAGAATTATTTCATTTACTTTCTGGGGACTTCAACCCCATTACGTAAACATACCGATCGATTTTCTGACCGAACATTTCCTCCGCTTTGAACTAAAATTGTAAAATGGCGGCGTATCGTATGTTCCAGAGGTAATGGACTTTCCGTCAGATCTAAACAGAAAAAAGTAGCATTTTATTAAGCTCAGCACATAACTGGCCATTTTATGAAATATATTCTTATGAACATAATTATAGATCAATATGTCTCTTTTAACGTGAACTGGGACATCATAATGCATTCATTACTAGTCCTTTCGCTATACGTATATGCAGTATTTCGATAGAGCGGCAGTCAGTGCGCGAGCATGCGCTTTGCCATATCTCGTTCAGTTACCGCTCGCGTTTTAAACTCGGTTGCTATGAAGCGACACTAAGTGTACATGGCTTTTTCAACTAAAATATCAGACAAACACATTAAAACAATACACATAAACTACACATAGCTGTTTTCTATATTAATATTTTGCATTTGAAATTGATAGTCAAACAAATATCTCAATATTCTTACCGATTTAATGTATTGTTTACATGTGATGACAGCATCGCTGTGTGTTAGATTACTTTCGGTTCAGAAAATCCATTTGTTTACTATCAAAACTGATATGTTTACCATAGGAACCATATATAAATAGAAAGCAAATTAAACAAAGGTAAAGAAAAAATTGTCCGTTTCTTAACAAAAAATCGAATAAATAAATACAAAGTCTTTTTAACATGTCCCTTCTTTGAGTTCATTTGAAAGGGGAATAATTTGGTGGAATTTTAGACAGGGAAACAGGGAGTTATCTTACATGGCTAGGGAATATGGACGACTGAAATCATGCAAGCAAGTTTGTAAGTGCTATAAATTTTTTTTTATAATTCATTTTTGCCGATGTAAAAGTCATCTATCTAAATCAGGCATGTAAATAAGACATGAAAGCGTTTGTCGATTTTGAATTCGATTCAAATAGTTTGCGTTACATTGTTACATTCATAGTTGAATAAATATTTGCAACATCAGTAACTATTTTCACGAATATCTCGAGTAAGGATAAACAGACAGATGCAGTTGGAATTTGGACAACAGGTAACAATATTGATAAAAGTACAGATAGAAGTACAGATAACAATATTGATAAAGATACAAATAAAAGTACAGATAACAACATTGGTAAAAGAACAGATAAATGTACAGATAGAAGTACAAATGGAAGTACAAACAACAATATTGAACAGATAAACGTATAGATAACAATATTTATAAAACGTCCATACAATTCCTACTTTATACTCGAATCATATGTTCTATTTTAGTTTGAGCATTTTATAATTTTATAAGGGTTTGAACTAATGTAACTAATAAATTATTTGTTGAATGACCTTAACCCTTTACCTCATGAGCATATTGTGAAAAATGGCCGCCTCCTGTTACAAGTTCAAACTGCTAATACTTCAATACTGATGAAACTTGGCAGTAATGTTGACTGGACCATAGCCTCTGTAATCGTAAATTTCCTGTTACCATGGCAAAGGGGGGGGGGGGAGTCTCAAAAATGCAAAAGAATCACTATTTTGCATTGTTTTTTATTTCAAAGTGCTGCAACTTCTCAATGGATTGAGATAGAGTAAAAAGGCTTTTCAGCGTTGGTTACACGTTACCTTACGATCGACCTGAGGTCAGTTTTAGCCTGTCACATGTTCAAAAATTTCTTGTCGATAAGGGGGACTGCCGCCCCCTTCAAACCCCCAAACAGAAGAGGGCACATCCCCCTTCTGGCAACCCCTTGATGTATTTTTTGATGGGGGATGGCGCCGATAAAGTAGATCTAATCACTTGTTTAACACTTGTTTAACAACATTTCTAAAACTAAAAAACAGTGTTTGGGGTCTAAATAGAGGGGGTTTTCACTGTTTGAGGCCTCAAAAAGGGGGGTCGAAACGCCGTCAAAACACGTACATATGAGGTAACACCCCAGTTACACAGAGCCATCGTGATTGATCGGTAGTTTTTGTAGCCAAATTATGGAGTGAACCGATGACAACGTATTTAACACCGATATCACCTATTGGTCACCTGTTTTGCACCTACCAACTGCTATTGGGGAAACATAAGTTTCATCGGTGAAAAATTACCGATTGGCATTTTTAAACATGTTTAAAATTCACGATCGGTTGAAATATTTTACAAATAACCGACAGCAAGAGAAATATGCAAGCTCTTAATCACCGATATCGCCGATCGGACAAAGATAACCAAATATATATATAGTAAAAAAGTAAAATCTCTAACTTGCCGTATATAAGCAAAAACGCTAATGTTGGAGAAACAGGGGATACGTTGTACCAAAGACACCTTCTAAATTTATCCAGAATACGAACCAAATACAACGATCCGTTAGCGGTGCATTTTTACACGAACGACCACGTACACAGTTAATGATTTTTCAATAATGGGGCTGGAAAAGCTATACGGGAATGACCAATACAGAAAAACAATAGAAAATTTGTGGAAAAATAAATTAAGAACCTATAGACCGTATGGAGTTAATACCAAAGAATAACGCGGCAGACGGCAAACAACGCCACGGCGGGCGTCGTTCATTGACGTTACGTCACTTCCATTGTTTTGTTTGATATATTTGTATGTAGAATAAATGCTGCTGAAGAAGGCCGCAAGGCCGAAAGCTACGGCAAATTTAAATTAGCGTATATATATGTGGTTTATTGGAGGATGAATTTCATTTTGTAATTGAATGCTATCTTTACAATGATTTAAGGAAAAAGTATATACCAAGTTACTATTGGAATAGACCGAATATGTTTAAGTTTTTAGAATTGATTAAATCTGACAACAACTGTAATTAGAAATTTAGGAATATATGTATACAACGCTTTTGCTATTAGAAATAACGTTATTTATTATATACTTATAAATGAAATATTGATGAAATAAAATGCGTATTTTCATTTTCCGTATTTTCACTGTAAAAATTTTTTTCACTGCAGTGAAACATATTTTCCGTATTTTCACTGGTGTCTTGCCGGACTACTTTCTTTTAAATTCTGCCAGTACACAAAATTTAAGGGAAAGTCTTTCAAATTTTATCGCAAAAAAGTGAAAAATGTATATAATAAACAGAAAATTCAAGTTTTTTCTATAATTACATGATTTATTTTCATCTTGTGGCATGAAAATTACCATATTTCACTCGTGGCTACCGCCACTCATGAAATATTTATTTTCATACCACTTGATGAAAATAAATCATGTATTTATAGAAAAACTTGAATATCCTCTATGTACGGGCAATGATACATGTAAAATAATGTATATATCTCAGTATTTTTCTTCTTCTCTTCTTTTGGTTGCCACAGCACAGTGGAAATATTACTCCTTTCAAGATATAAAATTCAATACTAAAAGTTTCAAAGAGAAAAGAATAAAATTAATGATATTTGAATCAATCTACAGTTACTTTGATGATGATGTTTCACGAATAGCCAATGAGTTGACCTTTTTCTCTTTTGTTTTCGATTTCGATAAAGGTTGACTAAAAATTTGAGTACTATTCCCATGATTGCATATATGTTATAATGTATTGTATTGAATAAATGTTTCTCCTCTATTGGAGAAGGTTTTTAAGGTTGAGTTTCAACCTTCTCCTATATTTCAAATATTTGAAAAGAGATGTATTATTATCATTATCATGCATTACTCTGTCATGTCATATATAGTATGTTTGTAATATGTTGTCCTCATGGGCTTATTAGCCTATTGGAAATGAAATAAATAAAATTCAAAATTCTATTATCACCGGCCATATCTGACCACTGATGACTAGCTATCAAACACCGATTAATCAGCGTTACGCCCGATTCAGATCCGATTTACAAACGATAAAAACCGATAGTATTTCAGCATTTTTATCACCGACCCAACCCCGTTTGAATTTGCTTTCTGTCACCGATGGCCGTTTACACAGAAAACCAGAAATAAAATCACGCATGACAACCGATCATAACAGCGAGTAAATTTAAAATTAAATGACCGATTGGGGACCGACCGATTTTGTAACTGGCCCAAGGGTTGAATTGATTATTGATGAGATTATTTGATTTACAAGTCTTCATGGAGTAACTTAGTTATGAATTCAATTAAATGGACTACATTTACACATCTATTATTTGAAAAATTGATTTGTTCATTAAAGCTTTATTCATAATTAATAAAGAAATGAAATTATTAATAAATTATGAATTATGTTTATGTCCCTTTTAATTAAGGTTATTGGTTACCTCGGTGGACTTTCATGATAAAACATTCTATTGATGTATACTTATTTCTTGATGTATACCTTTTTTCATTATAAACCTATTTATTATACGTCAAATTTGAGGCTTCATTCTCGTGAATTATGTACAGTCTTCAACTTTAAACATCAACACTATATTAGTCAAATGATGCCCGAAATATAATATGTAAGCCATCTACTTTTCTCAGAAATCTTCATTCTGTTGAAACAAAGTTTAAATTCACCACTTTAAAATACTACTGACTGCTGGCGGGTAGAACATTTTTTAATGAGTTCCTGGAGAATGCACAAAAAACAACTTTTAAAGTCATCCTTTAACACACAAAAAACTACGCACTTGCAATAAATAAACTTTAGTTATGACCAATCAAACTAGAGAGAACTTAAATTGGGCCACTTCAATAATTAAAATAATTACTATCTAGACTAGAACGGGTTGGGTCTAATTCTGTACTGGGATGAGGTGACTATCCGTGAATTCCGACCATACTTTTCATTGCTGGCTACTAGTAGATTTAGTAGCTTCTAACATCAATAAGTAATACATATCTGTATCGGCCTATCCTTGGAGGAAACTTATGAATTCTATTGTAAATCTATTTTACAGCTTCTACAATTAACAGATAGTTTTAAAATGCAAAATGCCATTTGTATTTCTAATGTAAAATCATGATGAGTTAAGATATCGTTCATTTTACATAAAAAACAACCGTGCTTTGCGTTTCAGAACCATTAAAATTTATCAACGCGATACACCGAGTTTAAATTTTACATAAAAAAGCAACTTCAGAACCATCTTTTCGTTCTTTGCCAGTTCTTTATTTACGAGAATGATGTGGTCTTACAAATGTAGTATTATACCTTAATATGTAATATATTTATTACTGTATATAACATCCGTATATCCATTGTGATTATTCTATTTCTAGGTATACACTACCTTAATTGTTACCCGTCATCCATCATTAAAACAAAAATCATTAAAGGACGGCCACCGTGCCAGTGACCACGGCCACGGTGACACAGTCACCGTACCATATAAGAATATTTGCTTCACTTGTATAGATTCATTGTCGTATACAATATACAGGAAACATGTTCTTTGTTTTTGGAATCGTTTTTCTAAATATAGACTTATCTGCTCATGCCGTTCAAACTTTATACACGTTATCCCCATGTACAACTTTGCACAGTTTTCACCATTTTGTTGGTATAACCGTGGAGGATTGCATCTTGGAATGTCGGCGTCGGACTTTATGCGCAGCGGTTAACTACAACAACTACGTTAAACATTGTGCCCTCAGGAATAGTTCGGGACTAGCGCTTAGTGGGTTAGAACCTAAATGGTGTTTTGATGTTGTCGTAAACAACGAAACTATCGAGCTGGATGGACCATGCAACGAAAATCCTTGCAATGAAACTTCCATGTGCATAGACTCTAGTAAGCCCCCGTTCTTTAGATGTATAATAGTATATTGTAAATCGGAAACAGATATTGTGAACGCTTCGTTTAGGATTAAACCACTGAGTTCTGTGGGCGACAAAAATGAGCTTGTTTGCGACAAAGGATTTACTCCAATAGGTCCATCATCTGTGACTTGCCTTAGTGACGGAAACTGGTCTTCTACGGATTTTGAATGTTTAAAGAATTGCCCATCTATTCCGATCAAATCGTCTGCACTAGTTTCATCGTGGTCAACGTATAGGTTTGTTGATAACACTATCGCCACATTTAATTGCAAAAATGGTTATTATAATATAACAGATAGGACAATAGTTTGTAACAAGACTGGCACATGGTCTGAGTTCGAGTGTTTACCGTACTGCCACCAAACAGACATCGTGCCGATACCAAACGGTGGTCCAACACCCGGTAACATCTATACAATTTTTGAGCAAGCCAAGTACATGTGTAACAGCGGATATTATTTGTCTGACGGTATACCGGAAATAACATGCGGAAACGACGGGAAATGGTCAGCGCCTCAAGTTGAATGTTATCCGTTTTGTCAACTTCCGGCAGTAGCAAATGGGATTTTTCAGGTAAGTGTGTTCTAAGTAAAAGCTGGACGACTCTGCTTCTCATGGAATACTCAGGAAAATTATAATAACTTAAATTGATGCGAACTCAAATTACATTATTGACTTTTGATTTGTAAACTCACCTTGATATGTCGGTTATATCTGCATAGTATCTTCTAATGGATCTTTTTTTGCAGTCTGACAGAATGTTAGGTAATTGAGGTTGGAAAAGGTAATGTTACCGATAAATTAGCATCACCAGAAATGTATACGGGCGATTCACTTCAGATGTCACGACATTACATATTTCGGTTAATGTTAATCATTTCATGATTATTCAACATTATCATCCAGGTTGCTTGCGGAGCGTCGGTGGTTCTACTCGGGTGCTAGATATTTTCCTCCACCAGTGAAGCTGGAAAGTTGCCACACGACCTGTACTGTTAGAGCAACGTAAATCACAGCCACGAAATCAAAACATTCTAGATTAAGTTGCTCTACGAGGGGTGTTCAAATTTGAATGCAACTAGGCCAATATCTTGCTTTTTACTATGTTTTGCACGAACTATGAACAATTATTGCATAGATGGTTGTGTAACCTCTTAATTTATACAACATATGTGTAAATCAGTTCAGTCGAACTTTGACAATAGCTCGAACAATCGATCTTTTGCAAATATCATCACTGTCAATGAGACCTTGGTTCACTTTTATGAGCCCAAGCGAAAAATACATAACACAATATGGGCAACCAAAGGAAGTCAAAGACCTTGCATAGCAAAACATACCATGAGCGTTAAAACGTCCTGTATGTTTTTTTTTACCAATCGAGGTCCTGTTATTTAAATTGCCTTACCAAAGGGTAAATCTGCAAATGCCAAGTTTTAAAAAGGCAAGGTCCTTCATAAATGAAAGAAATATTTCAAAAACCGTCGACCAGCAACAGGTCTCCGTGGTGTCAGGTTGTTGGATGACAATGCTTCTTAACACAAAGCGGCCATTATACGAGAATATCTGAAACAGGAAAAGGTAGCCTCCATATTCGCCAGATCTTGTCCCTTGTGACTTTTTCCTATGTCCGAGGCTCAAAAAACACCTTGCTGAAAGAAAAATATCAAACGCGAAAAAGTCTCGGTTCGGCTTAACAGTATACCTCGAAAAGATTATGAAACGCATTTAAAAATTGGATTAGTATACTTAAATTTTGTATATCACGTGGTGGTGAGTATTTTTAAGGATTGAGATAATTGTTTCGGCACTGTTTGTGAAGCTCTTCTGAAAATTGGCAGGTTGCATTGATATTTGAAGACTCCTTGTACCCCCTGATGTAAAATTACTAATAGTTTCTTTATAAAAGTTTAATTACTAAATAATTAACGGTAGTCCAGAGGAAAACACTGGTACCTAACCCCCAAGTCTCTAAACTACATTACAAAGGACATCTGCAGGGCAGGAGTAGCGGGGGGGGGTTAGAACAAACATACCCTGAATTTCTAGTCACACAGTATTAACACTAGATCACTGCGTCTGCTCTAAAGAGGTGTCCACAATAGGTTAAATGTTTATTTTTATTGTAGAACCTACCAGCCCAACCTATCAAGAAAGATGTTTCTGTGACGTACACATGTAACTCGGGATACTATACCCATCCTGATGTTTCCCAGCCAACTGCTGTATGTCTGCTCACTGGCGAGTGGCAATACGCTGCCGCATGTTACAAATATTGTTCCGACGCACCCAACTACCGATGGGAAAAAGTCGAAGGATATTCAACCGGGGCCCCGTATAAAATAGGAACATCCGTTCAGTACAGATGTGACACTATAGCAATGCATTTTACTGGAAGTAATGTCAGAAATTGTAAAAGTGATGGTTCGTGGGACGGAGAAGTCCATTGCTGTGGACCATGTTATGATTATGAGAGAGGGAAGTGTAGATGTTCATGTTGGCCATGCTGAGTCGTAATGAATTTATATCACTGATTGCATATCTATAACAGCTTAAAATTTTACCAAAGTTTTACCACATGTGATATAATTATACTCATATTGCAGAAATTAACACGTGCATTAAACGTTATTGGTACAAAATATGTGATGAAAAAGTGCCACACAAGAAAAACGAAACTTTCAAAGAGTACGTAATACACACACACGGACACACACACACGAACGCACGCACGCACGCACTAACGCACACAACACAACTTCGACATTTTCCAAAACCATGAAAATATTACTTTTGAAAGTTTCATTTTCCTTGTTATTTTTAGCATGTGACATATTATATATATACATGTATATATATTGATTTTAATGCTTAGTATTAAATTTTTAAAGTTTTGTCGGTCCGTCTGTCAATCCATACATAGAAAGACATTACGGAGTAAAGTTTGAGAACTATTTGACATGATGTTCATTTTGTACAAACCGTCAATAGTGCGACGTTTGAAGTTAAATAGGTCAACATAAGATTCTATCCCAAAAAAAGTAGATTTTATATGCTAGCCATTAGTAAGGTCATATTGCATGAGCAGCTCCTGTCCGGAGTCCGGTAACCCTGCCTCCATGCAACGACTGCTTGAAAACGGTCAAAAAGATCAGTTATTGGTCAAGCAGATTTACAAGGTATGGATATACGACTAAATCATATGGCTGATAGTAAAATTTACCTTAAAAGGGGCCGATTAGCACAGCTGCATGAATCTAGTGTTAGAAAATCCTTTAACGTGTTTTCTCTCTAACTACTGCACCACACACACACACACACACGCACACACACACACACGCACGCACGCACGTACACACTTATATGATATAATGTAGAATGAAGGAAATATTCCCGAATCCTCCAATTGCGGCATTTAGAAGTGATAATAACCTACAGGATATTCTTGTTCATAAGAAACACAATAAACTATTTTTTCAACAGCCGAATTCCTGTGCTCCTTGCAGATCCAAAAAGTGTGCGATTTGTCCGTACGTTATTGAAGCAGACACATTCATTGGTTTGAACGGGGCCTCGTATAAGGTTCGAAATCAGATAACGTGCAAATCTACGAATGTGGTGTATGCAGTTTATTGTAAGCGTTGCAAACGTTATATTTATGTTGGAGAAACAGGGGATACGTTGTACCAAAGACACCTTCTAAATTTATCCAGAATACGAACCAAGTACAACGATCCGTTAGCGGCGCATTTTTACACGAACGACCACACAGTTAATGATTTTTTAATAATGGGGTTGGAAAAGCTATACCGGAATGACCAATACAGAAAAACAATAGAAAATTTGTGGAAAAATGAATTAAGAACCTATAGACCATATGGAGTTAATACCAAAGAATAACGCGGCAGTAAACAACGCCACGGCGGGCGTCGTTCATTGACGTTCCATTGTTTTGTTTTTATATATGTGTATGTAAAATAAATGCTGCTGAAGAAGGCCGCAAAGCCGAAACCCACGGCAAATTTAAATTAGCGTTTTTGCTTATATATACGGCAAGTTAGAGATTTTACTATATATATATATATAATGTAAATAATATTAGATGTTATGTATATTAATATTCATTTTTCGTTGTTGTTTCGTAATTGTAAATTGTATTATTTCTATTGTTTCTGCAACAAATAACATGTATATAAAGTGTAAGACGCATTGTGCTGAAAGAACACATATATTTATCTTCGTTAAAGGAAACACCACAACCAATGCTTTTAAGCTGATCACATAAATATTTAACTTTTCAAATAAAACCTTAATAAATAAAAATACAAAACAATCCATGAAAATCCTAATCACGGATACAAATCGATTACAATTCATTGTTTAATTAGTTCGACAAACGTTCTCCGAGAATGTAAAATAGTATTTTAATAATTTGACATGCTTGAATGTTTAAATTGATATTGTTTTAATATATGAGCTGCGTCACGACAAAACCAACATAGTGCGTTTGCGACCAGCATGGATCAAGACCAGCCAGCGCATCCGCGCAGTCTGATCAGGATCCATACTGTTCGCTATCACTTCCTCTACTGGTTATAGGTTTTTTAAGCGAACAGCATGGATCCTGATCAGACTGCGCGGATGCGCAGGCTTGTCTGGATCCTTGCTGGTCGCAAACCCTTTATGTTGGTTTTATCGTGACGCGGCTCATATATCATTCACTCACAATGGCTCGTCAAGTCTTATTTAACTATTAATGTTTACTTTTTTTCTTTTTTTTTCTTTTTGATTTGTGATATATGATCGATTGTCAGTTACTTAAATGTGTTAAATAAACTATTTTTTGGTCTAAAGCTAAACTAGATGAATTGGCAATTAATAAGTTATTGATTATTAAAAGATGAATAAGTCCTCTTTGTTTGCAAACATGGCATTGGTTTTGTGTACAACGCATTTTGAAAAAAAAATACAACTTCATCAGTAATGTTGCTTCATGAATTACAAAAACAAAATAAAATAAAAGGATACATCTTTTTGTCTAGTGATCACATAGCAAATTATTTTGTTAAATAGCGACTTTGTTTATTTTTATAGTATGTTTAGCTTATTATTTTGTTAAATCATGTTTATCTCTTTAAAAAGCAACCAGTATGTTTAACTTGGTAACTACATGTAGTATGTTTCACTTGTTAACTAGTATGTTTAACTTGTTAACTAGTATGTTTCACTTGTTAACAAGTATGTTTCACTTGTTAACTAGTATGTTTCACTTGTTAAGTAGTATGTTTAACTTGTCAGATAATAAGTTATATGTTTAAAGATATACTATGCTCAAATTTGATATAAGAAAATATTGATAATTGCTACACAGTCTTTTTGTTAATATAAAATAAACATGTTTCACTTAAAACAACGAAGATATGCTATGTTTAAATTCTGTACATTATAGGTCATTTCATAGATTTCTATAAATTTTTGTGATTAAAATACTTTACTCAAACGACGAGCATTGTATATCTGTAACTTAGTAAATATTACACTTATCTTGGTAAAAGTGTGTTTACCTTTATTTTTATTTACATTATAAAAATATTATATTTTGTTACCAAATAGTTTATTGAACGTAAATGATATTTTGTTTATTTTGTTTGATAGTTAAACTTGTATATTTATATGTTCATTATTTGATAAATAATATGCTTAATTAGTTAAAAAGATGAATATCACGCTTATTTTGTTAGATGTCATATGTTTAAAATTTTTGAATGTCTTATGTTTAAAACTTTTTTAGGTATTATCTTCGTTGAGGAAGGAAACCATTTAGTGGTGTTCGAAGCTTTAAACGATTCTGTCAATTAAAATCCGATACATCACACGAACTTTCCCTTTTATTTTTTCCTAGACATATCTTTGTACTATTATAATTATTGAAGGGTAGAAAATTGGTCGACAAAACTTCAATTACAAGTATGCTTAATGAGTCGATTTGGGTCCCGTCCCTGGAGGATTTGGATTCCAAGAGCTAATACATCATTTAAATTTTGATTATTTATGTGGTATTTTTTTCACCATCCTTCAAAAAGGTAATATCGACATGTTCTATATTGATGAATCATACGTAAGATCATACAACATAGTATAGAAATACCCAGGGACAATGTTATAGGTACATAGATCAATGTAATAGGCTAGTTAATTTTAATCTTCATGGTATGAGAGAATAAAGAATAAAGTAAATATATGGATACTTAATAGTTTCGTTGCTATAATAAGCATGTTCTTATCATCAATCGTAAACCATTCCACATCATATCACATTTCAACGGTTAGCCATTTTACATGTAAGTTTTCGAAAGCTTTAGCTATTTTAGCATAGTCATATTTCTGTGCAACTGCAAGTCAAGTCAAAATAGATTCTACATTTATAGTTGAATTAGTTTACCATTTTTAAAGTTTGAATATATATGTATTTATCTAAGATGAAATTATATAGTATGATGATGACAGCTAAAAGATTATTTGAACTTATCTAGAGTCCGCTTCTTTGATCTAACTAGTCCTAGTGAAGAAACATGTTCATGACTCATTAGGACACCTTAATTTATCTGCGTTATCATTTTAATATTGCAACAATTAACGCAATCTTTCTGTCTAGAAAAGTATGCCTGTAATAGTTTATCTTTCACCTAAATGTATATAGCAAAAGAATTAGATATTTATATAAAATGAAAGAAAATATGTTGGAAGAGTTTTGGATTGCTTTAAACAAAAATGGCAACCACATTTAAATAACAATAATGTTTAAAACACTCTTTATATTCATATAAAACAGATTAAAATTATGAAAATTATTTCATTACTATCAAATCTAAATATTAAAGAGTAATATTACGCTTTCAAGATTTCTTCGCATATCTTGTAGATATGGTAGGAACAGAATTGAAAGACAGGAAAGATTAAGCCAATTATGTCAATGCTCTGAGATCGACGATGCGTATCATTTTATTCTAACGGTGATTTAACCCATTACCCAATATACACGCCTTTAAGCGCTCCCCCCCCCCATTTGTTGTCTCCAATGGTGAAAAATGCCTTATTTAGATCCCCAACACTTGTTTTTGTTTGAGAAATGTTGTTTCCAAAAGGTACATCACGGTGCCTCTTCTGTTTGGGGGGGGGGGGGTGAAGGGGGCGGCATTCCCGTTCATCGCCAAGAAAATTTTGGACTTGTGAGAGGCAAAAAATGACCCCGTAACGTGTAATCAACGCTGAAAAGCCTTTGACTCTATCTCAATCCAGCGAGAAGTTGCAGCACTTTGAAATCAATTTTGAAGGAAAAAAATCAACGCAAAATAGTGATTTTGGAAGTTTTGAGATGTCCCATCGTTGCAATGGTAACAAGAAATTTAAGACTGAGCATGTCGTTACAAAGGCAATCGTCTAGTCAACATTTGTGCCAATTTTGATTAGTATTGAAGCAGTTTTTATAGTATTATATAGTAGCAATTTGAACTTGTAACGGGAGACTTTTCAATGAAAACAGCCATTTTTCACAAACTGCTCATGAAGTAATGGGTTAAGAATTCGGCTTATTAAACGCCATTTTTATCATAGACCTAGAAAGTAAAAATTCATAGATATACTTGCTTACAGTCAAACAACAAATCAGTTCTAAACAATCGTAGCAAATGTATTTATTTAGCAAATATGAAAAGAAATGATTTATTGAATTCATCCTAGACTTTAACAATGTTCATTATATTTACTGTTAAATACTTTATAAGTGAAAAGTTACTGTTCTTCAATATCTAATTTCATACTTATTAGAGCTTATTCTTCTAATTGTATGACCTGAAACATTAATTATTGTGTTCTATTGTTTGTAAACCGTGACAAAATGTTTTATATGTATTACTAGTAGTTTTGACGTGTTAATGTATAAGTTCAATAAATTTTCTACTTCTTCTTCTTCTACTTCTTCTTCTTCTTCATAAATAAATAATGAAATAATGATACGCTGGTTTACATGTAACTTCCGCAAAAAGTATTTGCTAATCAGTGGTGATTGGCGTCCGCGCCGAAGCGCGGCGCTCTTATGGAATGAAATCAGATTTTGTGAAAGGGCGACAGCAACTTCTCGAGCCTTTTAGTCGGTCATAATAAAAGCCGAAAATTCCGATCGGTATGAGGGTGCTTGATTATTAATTAAGAATGAAATGTCGCGATATGTTACAATGAATATTCGCAATGCAAACATTTTCAAATGAAATAACCTTTTCCGTCAATAAATCGCGCTCTTCGGGGTTTTTCATTTATCATTTTGTAGTACACAGTCGGTTATCATGGTATGTTATTGTTGAACATGTATCCTAGAATGATCAGTTGATGACCTAAATATTCCAAAAACCTATTTATAGATATTAAATAAATGTGACATGTTCAAAAATTTCTTGACGATGAGGGGGACTGCCGCCCCCTTCAAACCCCCAGACAGAAGAGGACACACCCCACTTCTGGCAACCCCTTGATGTACCTTTTTGATGTGGGACGGCGACTAAAAAGTAATCACTTGTTTAACAACATTTCATATACGAAAAAAGTGTTTTGGGTCTAAATAGAGGGGGTCTTCACAGTTTGAGGCCTCAAAAGGGGGGGTGGGGTCGAAACGCCGTCAATATGAGGTAAAGGGTTGAATTGATTATTGATGAGATTATTTGATTTACAAGTCTTCATGGAGTAACTTATTTATGGATTCTTTTAAATGGACTACATTTACACATCTATTGTTTGAAAAATTGATTTGTTCGTAAAAGCTTTATTTTTAAATAATAAAGAAATGAAATTAATAATTAATTCAAGCAAGTCTTTTGTCTCTTTTAATTAAGGTTATTGATTACCTCGGTGGACTTTCATAATAAAATATCCTATTGATGTATACATATTTCTTGATCTATACCTTCATTATAAACCTATTTCTTACATTTTGAATTTGAGTTTGAGGCTTCATTCTCGATTCCACTGTTTTTTATGAATTATATACAGTCTTCAACTTTAAACATCAACACTTTGTTAGTCAAATGATGCCCAAAATATAATATGTTAGCCATGTACTTTTCTCAGAAATCTTCATTCTGTTGTAACACAGTTTAAATTCACCACTTTAGAAACTACTAACTGCTGGTGGTTAGTACATTTTTTAATCCTTCCGCCAACAAATAAGTTCCTGGAGAATACACAAAAAAACTTTTAAAGTCATCCTTTAATACACAAAAACTACGCACATGCAATAAATACACTTAAGTTATGACTTAGAACTTCAATTGGGCCACTTCAACAATTAAATAATTACTTTCTATAGAACGGGTTGTGTCTAATTCTTTACCGGGGTGAGACATAAGTGTTTATCAGTGAGTTCCGACCATACTTTTCACTGCTGGCTACGTGTGCTACCAAAATCTCTTGAACACTACTTATGGACACTACACTACTTATGGACACTTTCAAATATAGCAGGGCATTCCCATCTTTCACTTGTACCAGGATAAGAATGCAATAAAAAATCTTCTTATTTGTGGTATTGTATTTGCGTATTTCTTTTTCTGAAAAGAACATTTTCTGTAATGAAAAGTATGTAAACGCAAACTAGCTTCTAACATCAATAAATAATACTTATTCTGTATCGGCCCATCCTTGGGGAAAACTTATGGAATCTATTTTACCCCTTCTACATTTAACAGATAGTTTTAAAAATCAAAATGGCATTTGTATTTCTAATGTAAAATCATGATTAGTTAAGATATTGTTCATTTTACATTAACAACAACCTTTCTTTGCGTTTCAGAACCATTGAAATTAATTCACGCGATATACAGAATTAAAAAATCGTTAATTTTACATAAAAAAGAACAACTTAAAAGCCATATTTTTTTCTCATTATTTACAAAAATGATGCGGTCTAACTAATGTGCTATCATACCTTCATATGTAATATATTGATAACTGTATATAACATCAGTATATCCATTGTGATTATTCTATTTCTAGGTATACACTACCTTAATTGTTACCCGTCATCCATCATTAAAACAAAAATCATTAAAGCACGGTGAAACAGTCACCGTACCATATAAGAATATTTGCTTCACTTGTATAGATTCAGTGTCGTATACAATATACAGGAAACATGTTCTTTATTTTTGGAATTGTTTTTCTAAATATAGACTTATCCGCTCATGCTGTTCAAACTTTATACACGTTATCCCCATGTACAACTTTGCACAGTTTTCACCATTTTGTTGGTATTACAGTGGAGGAGTGCATCTTGGAATGTCGGCGTCGGACTATATGCGCAGCGGTTAACTACAACAACTATGTAAAACATTGTGCCCTCAGGAATAGTTCGGGACTAGCGCTAAGTGGGTTAGAACCTGAATGGTGTTTTGATGTTGTCATAAACAACGAAACTATCGAGCTGGATGGACCATGCAACGAAAATCCTTGCAATGAAACTTCCATGTGCATAGACTCTAGTAAACCCCCGTTCTTTAGATGTATAATAGTATATTGTAAATCGGAAACGGAAATTGTGAACGCTTCGTTTAGGATTAAACCACTGAGTTCTGTGGGCGACAAAAATGAGCTTGTTTGCGACAAAGGATTTACTCCAATAGGTCTACCATCTGTGACTTGCCTCAGTGACGGAAACTGGTCTTCTACGGATTTTGAATGTTTAAAGAATTGTCCATCTATTCCGATCAAATCATCTGCGCTAGTTTCATCGTGGTCAACGTATAGGTTTGTTGATAGCACGATCGCCACATTTAATTGCAAAAATGGTTATTATAATATAACAGATAGGACAATAGTTTGTAACAAGACTGGCACATGGTCTGAGTTCGAATGTTTACCGTACTGCCACCAAACAGACATCGTGCCGATACCAAACGGTGGTCCAACACCCGGTAACATCTATACAATTTTTGAACAAGCCAAGTACATGTGTAACAGCGGATATTATCTGTCCCCTGGTTCCAGATTTGTTAATTGTAATGACCAAGGCACGTGGTCGCAACCGGAAGTTGCGTGTTATGCGTTTTGTCATCAGAATGAAATTCCAACAGTAGAAAATGGTACGCCGCTTCCAGGAACGCTATATAATTATACAATGACAGCGACTTATGAATGTAACCAGGGTTTCTACCTGTCTGACGGTATACCGGAAATAACATGCGGAAACGACGGGAAATGGTCAGCGCCTCAAGTTGAATGTTATCCGTTTTGTCAACTTCCGGCAGTAACAAATGGGATTTTTCATGTAAGTGTGTTCAAAGTAAAAGCTGGATGACTCTGCTTCTAATGAAATACTCAGCAAATTATAATAACTTAAATTGATGCAAACTCAAATTACATTTTTGGCATTTGATTTGTAAACTCACCTTTATGGAGGGTGATTTATGCCAAAATTACATCTTGCTTTCTTACGTTACATCGTGCTTTCTAACTTGTACATCGTGCTTTCTTACTTGTACATTATGCATTCTGACATATACATCTTGCATTCTGACTTTTACATGTTGCTTTCTTACATGTACATCATGCTTTCTGCTGTGTGCGACTTGCTTAATTCTATGTTGATGTCGTTATTTAACGATCAATTATTATTCATTTGTTGATCTGGTATATTAATTCAATAAATTAACCTGCAACTGTTTGTATTTGGGTCTATTTACTCAGCTTGAATGACGAATGTCATAAGGTAGAATGCGCATAGCCGAAAGCCGAATGCAGCATGCATAATACAACGCGACATCTGGTGTAATAATATGTGACACCCAAATTATGCTAACAGGTGGCGCTACAGTTATATTCTCGGTAAAGTCCGTATTGCGGTTCGGATTCAGTTTACCAAGTTACGTCCCTTTGTTTTAAAATTTCCATTTGCACTCATGGAGAAAATATACAAAACGATTTATTTAACATTGTTCAAAGTGCTTGGGCTATAAAAAACTTCTTATTAAAATATTTCATCCTCTTGAAAAGTTCTTAAATTTTGACATAGCTTATTTCCAATACCTGTGACCATCCACAACATTTTTAATGTGTTTTTATTAATAAGGACATTTTCTTGCCTATTTTCAAACTAATTTTGTACACATGTTAGATTTTTTAAATTCAACTTGTCAAAAAATGTCTTTTTTTTCACTAAGTTGCTTTATGAATACGGCCCAGGTTCTTGTTCACAGTGTCAGCTTAAAACTGAAGGAACACATAAAAACACATTAAAATGTTGTGGATGGTCACAGGTATTGGAAATAAGCCATGTCAAAATTTAAGAACTTTTCAAGAGGATGAAATATTTTAATAAGAAGTTTTTTATGGCCCAAGTACTTTGAACATTGTTGAACAACTGTTCTATTTTTTAATTATATTTTGTTGATGAAAAAAGAAAATTCTAAAACCATTGATTTGGAAATGTGCAATTTGTCATTGTCAGCTGGAAATATAATTTGACCTACAGAGTTTCATTAATAAATATAAATATTGGTTAAATCGTTTTGTATATTTCCTCCATGAGTGCAAATGGAAATTTTAAAACAAAGGGACGTATCTTGGTAAACTGAATCCGAACCGCAATACGGACTTTACCGAGAATATAACTGTAGCGCCACCTGTTAGCATAATTTGGGTGTCACATATTATTACACCAGATGTCGCGTTGTATTATGCATGCTGCATTCGGCTTTCGGCTATGCGCATTCTACCTTATGACATTCGTCATTCAAGCTGAGTAAATAGACCCAAATACAAACAGTTGCAGGTTAATTTATTGAATTAATATACCAGATCAACAAAAGAATAATAATTGATCGTTAAAAAACGACATCAACATAGAATTAAGCAAGTCGTACACAGCAGAAAGCATGATGTGCATGTAAGAAAGCAACATGTAAAAGTCAGAATGCAAGATGTATATGTCAGAATGCATAATGTACAAGTTAGAAAGCACGATGTACAAGTTAGAAAGCACGATGTAACGTAAGAAAGCAAGATATAATTTTGGCATAAATCACCCTCCATACACCTTGATATGTCGGTTATATTTGCAAAAAATATCTTCTAATGGATCTTTTTTCGCAGATTTTTCAAACAGTCTGACATAATGCTAGAATCGTCGGTGGTTCTACTCGGGTGTCAGAGGTGTTCCTCCACCAGCGAAGCTGGAAAGTCCCCTCACGACCTGAACTGTTAAAGCAACGTAAATCACAACCCCAAAATCAATTCATTCTAGATTAAGTTGCTCTACGAGGGTTGTTCAAATATAAATGCAACTATGCCAAAATCTTGCTTTTTACCATGTTTTACACGAACTATGTACATTTATCGCATAGTTGGTTGTGTAAGCTCTAAAATTGATACAAAGGGTTTGTAAATCAGCTCAGTTTAGCTTTGACAATAGCTCGAATAATCGATCTTTTGCAAATATTATCACTGTCCGTATTCGCCAGATCTTGGCCCTTATGACTTTTTGCTATTTTCGAGGCTCAAAAAACACATTGCCGGAAGAAAATATCAAAAGGAAAAAAACTCGCTTCGGCTATTTTTCAGTGTCTTAACAGTTTACCTAAAAATGATTATGAAACACAAATTGGATTAAAATACTTAAACTTTGTATATCACATTGTGGTGAGTATCTTTAAGGATTGAGATAATTGGATTGAGAAGCGGGGATGTTAGAACAAACATACCCTGAATTTCTAGTCACACAGTATAAACACTAGATCACTGCGTCTGCTCTAAGGAGATGTCCACAATAGATTAAATGTTTATTTTTATTGTAGAACCTACCAGCCCAACCTATCAAGAAAGATGTTTCTGTGACGTACACATGTAACTCGGGATACTATACCCATCCTGATGTTTCCCAGCCAACTGCTGTATGTCTGCTCACTGGCGAGTGGCAATACACTGCCGCATGTTACAAATATTGTTCCGACGCACCCAACGACCAATGGGAAAATGTCGAAGGATATTCAACCGGGGCCCCGTATAAGATAGGAACATTCGTTCAGTATAGGTGTGCCAGTATAGGCATGCATTTTACCGGAAGTAATGTCAGAAATTGTAAAAGTGATGGCTCGTGGGACGGAGAAGTCCATTGCTGTGCACTATGTTTTGATTATGAGAACGGGAAGTGTAGATGTTCATGTTGGCCATGCTGAGTCGTAATGAATTTATATCATTGATCGCATATTTATAACAGCTTAAAATTTTACCAAAATTTTACCACATGTGATATAATTATACTCATATTGCAGAAATTAACACGTGCATAAATGGTACATGATTTGTGATGAAAAAGTTTGATTAATATGTCACATGCTAAGAATCACATGGCAAAATGAAACTTTCAAAGACTATGTAATATTTTCCTGGTTTTGTAAAAATGTTGAATGTTGTGTTGCGTGCGTGCGTGCCTGTGTGTGTGATATATATATACATACATAGAAAGACATTACGGAGTAAAGTTTGTGAACTATTTGACAAGATGTTCATTTTGTACAAACCGTCAATAGTGCGACGTTTGAAACTAAATAGGACAACATAAGATTCTATCCCAAAAAAGTAGATTTTATATGCTAGCCATTAGTAAGGTTATATTGCATGAGCAGCTCCTGTCAGGAATCCGGTAACTCGGCCTCCATGCAACGACTGCTTGAAAACGGTCAAAAATATCAGTTAGTGGTCAAACAGTTTTACAAGGTATGGATATACGACTAAGTCATATGGCTGATAGTAAAATTTACCTTAAAATGGGCCGATTAGCACAGCTGCAGGAAAACCTTTATGACATAATTATGATAAAAATGTGATACAAATATTTTTTGAAACATATTTTTTCTTTGTCTGTAATTGCATGAGATATATTTCTTGTGCAAATAATGTTCTATCATAGCTCAGTGTTCATGTCACATATTATGAATGATATACTGGTCAAATTTATCATTTAATTCCAGTTAGACATAAACTCTCAACCATTTTGTTTTCAACAGGACCTTGTTATAAAAGAGTTGAAGTATCATGACATTTGCTTTAGCAATTTGTTTTCTCTCTAACCACATGTGTACCCGTGTTGCGCCACACACACACACTCACACACACACGAGCGCACGCACGCACGCACGCATATTTATTTTCATATTTCGTTGTTATCAGTGCAAATGTATGTACTAGTAAATTGTATCATTTCGATTGTTTCTGCAACAAGTAGCATGTATATAAAGTGTAAGACGCATTGTGCTGAAAGAACACATATATTTATCTTCGTTAAACCAATGCTTGTTAGCTGATCACATACACATTTAACTTTTCAAAAATAAATACGTGGAAATTGGCTTATTGCGTTAGGCAGGACATATACATTTTATCATTTTATACACAATTAGGACTTTCATTTTCTCCATTCATGAATGCAATCGTCCAAAGGTTAACTTCTAATAGAAGAATATGCTTACAAAACAATTGTTTTAATCACGTAAATGTCAATATTATCTGAAAATAAAACCTTAATAAATAAAAATTCAAAACAATCCATGAAAATCACGGATACAAATCGATTACAATTCATTGTTTAATTAGTTCGACCAACGTTCTCAGAGAATGTAAAATAGTATTTTAATAATTTGACATGCTTGAATGTTTAAATTGATATTTTTTAAATATATATCATTTACATACAATGACACGTCAACTCTTATTTAACTATTAATGTTTACTTTTTTTCTTCTTTTATCATTTTGATTTGTAATATATGATTGTCAATTACTTAAATGTGTTGAATAAACTATTTGTGGTCTAAAGCTAAACTAGGTTAATTGGCAATTAGTAAGTTAGGAACACTATTGATTATTAGAAGATGATTAAGTCTTTTTACAAACATGGCATTGGTTTTGTGTACAATGCATTTTGAAAAAAAAATACAACTTCATGTGTAGAACAAAGCAGTAATCTTGCTTCATGAATTACAAAAAAAATAAAAAGATAAATCTTTTTATTTTGTGATCACATAGCGACTTTATTTTGTTAAATAGCGACTTTGTTTATTTTTATAGTATGTTTAGCATATTATTTTGTTAAGTCATGTTTATCTATTTAAATAGGACCAGTATGTTTTACTTGTTAACTAGTACTTTTAACAGACATTTTAGTAATATGTTACTTAAACCCCAGTCACACTAGAGCTTACGATTATATGCGACCACCGATGACTTGTAAAACTGACGATCATCAGCGATTGTCTGCGACCAAAACCCTTTTTGCACAGATAAATTTACTTCTGCGACTATCGTAAGACAAGTCATCATTGACAATCGCACGACAGGTCATAAGCAAACGTACGATGGTCTCGAGATGTGTGGGATTACTTACGACTACCCGTGACCTTTCATGCGATCACCTTCAACTTGTCCTACGACCATCGCACGATAACTTAAGGTTAATCATAGGCACTTTGTAAAGAATGTCGTAAGATTGTCGCACTTTCGAGCGACGATCGTGCGACAGCCTAAGACCTTATAAGTTCACTAGCAACCTGTTTGATCGCAGAGAGGTTTTTGTGCAAGCTCAAAAACCTCTTTACGACTGAAATTGGTCGTGGCACCTAAATAAGATAATCTGCGACTATCGAAGATCACCGATAATCGTCGTAAGACTTTTTAAAGAGTGTACGCGACCAGTGGTCACTGGTGATCGTGAACTGGTCTTTACTGGTCATAAACTTTAATGTGACTGGGGCTTTAGTAAATATTACACTCACCTTCAAGTTGGGAAAAAGTGTGTTTAGCTTTTTTTTATCTACATTTTAAAATTTTATATTTAGTTAGATAATTTATTGAACGCGAATAATATTTTCTTTATTTTGATTAATTAATTGCTTGTTTATTATGTAAACTAATATGTTTAACTTTTATATTTGTATATATCTTATAATTTGATAAACAATATGCTTATTTAGTTAAATAGATGAATATTACACATATTTTGTTAGATGACATACGTGTACAATTTTCGAGGTATTATTTTTTGTTGAGGAAGAAAACCATTTAATGGTGTTCGAAGCTTAAAACACACCTGTCACCTAAATCTGTCAGTTAAAATCCTGTACACCAAACGAACATTCCCTTTAAGTTTTTCCACAGATATATATTAACTCCATGGTTTTTTCTTGACATATCTTTGTACTATTACAATTATTGAAGGGTAGAAAATTGGTCGGCAAAAGTTCAATTACAAGTATGCTTAATGAGTCGATTTGGATCCCGTCCCTGGAGGATTTGGATTCCAAGAGATAATACAGCATTTAAATTTTAATTATTTATGAGGTATTTTTCTCCATCCTTCAAAAAGGTTATATCGACATGTTCTATATTAATAAATCATACTTAAGATTATACAGCATAATAATTATAGAAATACCCAGGGACAATGTTATATAGATACGTACATAGATCAATGACATAGGTTAGTTAATTTTAACCTTCATGGCATGCATAGCGAATAAAGTAAATATATGGATACTTAATAATTTCGTAGCTTTAATAAGCATTTTCTTATCATCAATCGTAAACCATTTCACATTGCTAATCATATTTGCCATTTTACATGTAAGCGTTCGAAAGCTTTAGCCATTTTGCATTGCTAGCGCTTATCATATTTCTGTGCAACTTCAAGTCAAGTTAAGGTACATTTTACATTTATAATTGAATTAGTTTACCATTGTTAAAGTTGGAATATATATGTATTCATCTAAGATGAAATTATATAGTATGATGATGACAGCTAAAAGATTATTTGAACTTATCTAGAGTCCGCTTCTTTGATCTAACCGGTACTGGTGAAGAAACAAGTTCATGACCCATTAAGACACCTTTCCATCATTTATCATTTTGTAAGCATAAGCGTTATCAATTTAATATACGCAAACTATCTATCCAGAAAATTATGTCTGTAATACTTTATCTTTTTTACCTATATGTATATAGCAAAAGAATTAAATACCTTTATGAAATGAAAGGGAGTTTTGGATTGCTTTGAACAAAAATGGCAGTCAAATTTAAACAACAATAATGTTTTAAACACTCTTTATACTCTTTATATAAAACAGATTTAAATTATGGAAATTATTTCATTACCATCAAATCTAAATATTTAAGGAGTAGTATTACGCTTTAAAGAATTTCTTCGCATAATCTTAGATTTCAAACAGGTAGATATGGAAGCAACATAAATAAAAGACAGGAAATATTAAGCTATTATGTCATTGCTCTGAGATCGAAGATGAGTATCATTTTATTCTTATATGCAGTGCTTACCATGAATACGGCTTATTAAACGTCATTTTTATCATAGACCTAGTAAGTACAAATTCACAGAAATGCTTAAGTCAAACAACAAATCAATTCTAAACAATCTAAGCAAATGTATATATTTAGCCAATATGAAAAGAAATGATTTATTGAATTCATATCCTAGACAATGTTCATTATATTCACTGTTAGAAACTTTATTAGTGAAAAGTTACTGTTATTCAATATCTAATTTCATACTTATTAGAGCTTATTCTTCTGATTGTATAAACAGGAACATTTATAATTGTGTTCTATTTAATACCAACCGTGACTAAATGTTTTATATGTATTTTAGTTGTTTTGATGTGTAATGAGATACATGTATAAGTATAATAAAATTTTCTTCTTCTTCTTCTACTACTTCTTCGTCATGAAGTAAAATAATAATACGGTGGAAAATTACAGGTAACTTGAGAGTTCAATGACTATTCAGAGAAATAACCGTCGCACGAGGATCGATCCAGCGACCTCTAGATCACTAATCTGATGCTCTCCCTATTGACCTTAGGGCGAATTTATGATAAATACCATTGGTGTAGATACTATGGCGAGATTGTCAATGCAGGATCGTGGCCTTGACATCGGAGTGCTGACTCATACACGTTTATTTTAAACTTAAGTTAATTTTATAGTCCCAAAATTTATTTTGATCACCCTGCCTTGATATGTATTCCATGGCAATGTTCTCATAATATTGCTGATCGAAGATGGTAGACCTGCATGTCTAAGAAGAGAATAAGCACAAATAAGCAGATAAAACGTAATGGGATCACTTTCATGCAATACGAGTCAAGCAGCCGTATGGAAAGTGGAAAGGTAAGACGGAACATGAGGATGATCATGAATACATTTGATGGAGACGAGTACGGACAACTATTATACAAGCAAAGTACAATATATCTGTTACCAATTGATATAAAGTCAATGAAACAATTTGCCATCTTTCATTGCATGACATTTACTGTCCTGATTTATACTCAATACTAGTGTGTTTGGTCTTACCAAATAATTGTTGAGGATTCGTTCATTCATTCATTCATCAATCATTTACTCACGCACTTTCTCACGTATTCATTCATTTATTCATCACCAAAGGAGGGAAAAACTGAAGAGAAAGAAATGATAAATTAAAGAACATTTTATGTATAATGAAAACTGTATTTTTGTTAAAACCCCATCCTTAAATATTTGTATTTTATAAGATATTTTTATATCCTTTAGATTTCCGTGAAATAAAAACGTGTAGCGACATCACGTTTGTGTTCATAACCTGCCACACTGTCCCTTTCAACACCTTATCATTAATTTACAGATCAGAACAAGAACTTGTCTCATTAAGTGAAAGGAATTATTTAGTGACCATTTCTGATCATTCATTTAGATAATCAATTAGCTAATGCATCTATTGGCACGAATTTCTGTTTTCAGATATAATTTATATCTTGTTTTCAGATATAATTAACATAAACAATGTGTGTTTTGTTTTCACGACATTTTACGTACAATGATTGTCCAGTAAACGACAATGGGACGCAAACAATGAATTTACATTGTAAAATTTGTAAAAAATGAATGAACATAATTGAATACGGATTAGAAGAACACGTTACTGGAATGCCATAACATTTCGCCCAATACGTTGTTTTTTATCTTCAAGATATAGTGTACATGTATAATTGAAAGGTCTGACAGGGCAGAGTGAAAGCTCTTTTCAACAGCTAACAATATCGGTATTGTCGATATCCGGTCCATTTAAAATAATGCTTTGTAAAATGTATAATATATTCAATATTTTCCCTAAAAACATATATAAAGAGTGTAAATTTTAAATGCATGAAGTACAGTAGTGATGGAAGAAGAAAATCTTTTAATATTTAAGATATTGCTTTGTTTTTTACGCATGACGTGCTTAATTGGAAAATTAATATTTTAGGCCAACATTTTATTCGAGCAACGGTCTCTCCGTATAATAATGTCTAATAAATAATATTTTATAATTGTTACGCAACCGTGGTTTTCAGTATATCCAGCGTCACTTATACCTCATAGCACCGCTTTAAATACTTATCAATTTTAGCACTGTAAATATTGCAATTATTAATTTAGAATAAGCAAATATGCGCCACATGTCTGCCACAGTTATAATCACGTTTAGTAATGGTCGTAAAAAGCTAAGTATATAAATGACTAAATCAAACATTTACATTGAAGCGGTTCGGGCAGGCTCCTCTTGTACAGTTGTCTCATTTAATATTCAAGATAAACTTATGGAATATTATTGAGGTAAAAATACACAGTGCTTGATGGCTGTTACAATTTACTCAATGTCACTCCTATTGTGCTTACTGGTACTGTCAATATGCGTGTGGGCACATTCAGCATGATTGTTGATAATCGTACCGTGCAATATATTGTGTATATTGAAGCAGAAGATTTTTCTACAAATCATAATTTAACTCAAATTTAGAAAATGATGATAATACTGACGTTCTGAATAGTTCAATTACTATTAATGAAATTTTAAACGCCGTTAAAACATTAAAGCGTGATAATTCCTGCGGAAACGATTTTTTGCTGAACGAATATTTTATTGAAACTGTAGATATACTGGCAGCGCATATTTGTGATATTTAATTAATTGTATTTTTGATAGCGGTTTTTTCCCCTGAAAGATGGACTGAATGGGTTATTGTACCATTGCACAAGAAAGGAGATAAAAACAATGTTAAAAATTATAGAGGCATTACTTTAGTAAGTTGTATGTCGAAATTATTTACGACAATACTAAATAATAGAATTGTTAAATATTGTAATGAGAATAATACCATATCAGATGCACAGTTTGGATTCAGAAAAGGCTATTCGACAACTGATGCCTTGTTTATTTTGCATAATTTGGTTCGAAAATAAAAGATTATATTGTGTTTTTGTTGATTTAAAAAATAGCATATGATTGTACGAGTATATATAAAAATGCATTATGGCTTAAATTGTATAAGCATGGGGTTAACAGTAAAATTTTGAGAATAATTAAGGACATGTATGAAAAAGTAAAATCATGTGTTCGGTCGTGTAATTCGTACTCTGAGTTTTTCAAATATGCTGTTGGTTTAAGACAAGGGGAGGTAATTTCACCAGTATTATTTTCACTATTTGTTGAAGACTTAGAGTTATTTTTGCAAGATGATATAAATTCAGGTGTAAATATTGATGATATTATTCTTATTCTACTTTTGTTTGCAGATGATATGGTTATTCTTGGGAAGACTCCAGATGAAATTAACACTAGTCTTAGATTACTTTCTGAGTATTGCAAACTATGGAGTCTTGAAGTCAATGTACAAAAAAACCAAAGTTATCGTATTTCGTGAACGTGGGGGACTTAGAAATTTTAACTACCTAGGAACTGTTTTTAATTATACGAGTTTTGCATTAAATCAACAACAATTTGTCGGTAAAGCTTTGAAATCAATGAATGTTTTATTAGTTAAATGTCAAAAATATATAATTGTTTGTCAACTTTTTGATTCTTTTGTCGGATCAGTACTAAATTATTCAAGTGAAATATGGGGGTTTACAAAATCAAAAGAAATCGAAAGAATTCACCTTAAATTTTGTAAGAAAATTCTTTTTGTTAAAATGTCGACTCCTAATGTTGCAGTTTATGGCGAATTGGGACGATACCCTTTGTATATTTCGAGATATATTAGAATATTAAAATTTTGGTTTAAACCTTAACAGTACTGTAGAATAACACGGTGTTCAATAACTGTATGAACTATACTGTTCAATAACTGTAGAATAACACTGTGTTCTTACAGTTATTGAACAGTATAGTTCCTACAGTTATTGAACACCGTGTTATTCTTTCGTCTTCCCTTAATATATAAGAATGAACTTATGTAAAAAAGTTCATTGAGGGCCGGTGTTCCAGACTCCGAATGTTGGTGCTGGTTTTAATTATCAGAGACCGGTTTAAAATGTTTAGATAATTGTTTTGATTTCAATAAATCATGCCAACTGTCCAGCGCAGTGTTATTTTAGTGCGCTCTGGTCCCTGCCAAGACTAAGCGTTCCCTAGTAATTAATGATCCCCATATTTAGAAAATCAAATTTTACTTTTATTTTCTTAGAGGGCGCTTCCTGCATTTTGGTTGGTCAAAACTGTCCCTAGAAATAATAATTATATGCAAATGCAAGATTTGCCGCCTTTCTAAGGCGCAGTTGAAAATAAGATTTCGGAATGTGAAGTACAAATCTTGTGAATTTCTATTTATTAAGTTTCGGGCACAGATACCATTGTTCAGTAAGTTTATTTTTGTTTTTTATTTGCCTTCGTTCGGGAAAATTATTGTTTACATAAGTTTTGTTCTAAAATAATTACATTTATTATTGTTAAGGTAAATACATTAACAATTTTATGTTAAGACAGATAAAGCTGTATCCTAGTTAAAACTTTGATGTAAAAGTAAATAATCTGTAATTCTATCAATTAATAAATTTGTTAACATTACTAGCAGCAGGATTCCCACAGTATTTGTTAAGGATGAATTATATAATTATGTGACTTGTTTATTTGTAAGTATGTATGCATTCTTTGTATGTTGTTTTAATTGTTATTAATGGAAGTATAACTGTTTAACTTTCAGATAACCGCTATATACGCTATATACGCTATATACTCCTTAGACTATGTTGTTGTTTTCTGGAATAAAAGTGAAAATATAGCGCGTGGAATTGCATCTTTTTGTTGCCCAAAACTTAGTGAAGCTGCCCCTTTACGGACTTGTGTCGTAGTGTCTTTTGTTGAATTTGGGTGAACAGTTGAAGTGAAACACCCGTTTTTAACGTGTTCTCTCTCACCACCCACGTAATCTACACTGTGTTCTTTACAGTTATTGAACAGTATAGTTCCTACAGTTTTGAACATGTGTTATCCTACAGCTTATTGAACATAATCTATTAACGAAAATGTAAAGTTTTTAATTGGATTAAACCGTTATTTATTTGGATTATATCGTCAAAC